GATCAATAAATTCGTCTACATGGCAATTACATGCTTAGAGCTAACCAGAGTTCTGTTAACCTTAAAAGGTACAAAAATAAGCAACCATTCCTTTAACACCGGCTGGATTAGATGAAATCAAAATACGAACTTGAGGCTCGATATAACATTTCGTTTTTTGGTTTTTTAAAATGTCTCAAGAGCCAGCTGCGACCCAGTTTCTTGAAAAAGTCACTGATTGTGAAAGTTCGTGAATTATACATATAATATAAAGTTCGTACAATATATATTGTATGGGTCAACTTACCTTCTATGTTCTGATTTAGTTGTGCTGTGTAACAGGTTCGATTTCGAGATTTAGTGAACAATTTAACTTATTTTAGAACTTAGAACAAAACTTTAACTTTTATTTTGATAACTTTATTATTTAACTTTATTTGTTAAGTATAATTCGTTGATTATCAGGAGAGAAAGTAAGAGAGAGAGAGAGGTTAACTTCTACACTGAAGTTATTCTTCTGAAGGATTGTGACTCAATGATTTCTTGATTATTTTGAATTTTCTTATATATGTTTTTGAGAAAGAAGAGAAAGAGGAGAAAAAGAAAGAGAAAGAGAGATGATGATTTATCTTCGTCATTAACAATTAATGGTTAATGGTTTTTTATAAAAAAAAACCAAACTTCGAAAAGTAATAATAAATTATTACTAGAGGAAGTAATAATCATAAATTTAATTACATGCTGCAACTTGTATAGTTGTTATGATTAATCCAATGGCATACACGGCGAATATTGTGGGTATGATTTTGCAGTTCAATAGATGTTCAACACAAAATTCACTAAAACAATACGCAAGTGGTGAAAATTTACTCTTCTAATTAATGAAGACACAAAACACTTCAAAACTCATAGCCGCAATTAACAATGCAAGAATAATACAGCCACGAAAATTAAGTTTCGCACACTTTGAATCAAATCTGCGCATAGAGTTGCTTTTCTAATGTAAATTGATTGAAGAATCAACTCTATGCGCAACAATTATTGAAAGTGTACGAAACTTAATTTTCGTGGCTGTATAGATAAAACTTCGTGAAAGGAAGATGGACGAATACAAAACTCAATATAATCTGCTAAGCTGAAGTATGCGAATGCATGTAACAATCAACACTGACCAGACTAACGAAAAGTAAATGCATAGCTTCTGTTCGAAGGACGGGCGTTTGAAAATACAGGGCTATTCAGCTATTTTCGCCGAAGTTTTTTGCGATTTTCTCAGCAACTAAGAGTCAAAGAGACTCGAGACTTGAGTGGTATGAGTTTGAGCGATACTCATATGTCATATACAAAGATCAAGGTCATTCAGGTCACGTGTAAAATAACGCGTTTCAAGGTCATTTGAAGGCATAACCATAGAAAAGTATGTGCGAAAACACCAATATCAAAATTTCAGGCTCTTATGTCTTCAGGGTCAACTGTTATGATAAGTTTTGTTAATTAAAGAATCTCAGTACCTTTTTAATTGAACTGCAGTTGATTTTCAACACTTATTCATCTTGGGTTAAGATTTTGAAGTTAGTTGTAACTGTCAATCAGAAGATAAAGCAAAATTTGATATTGGTGTTTTCACACATATGGTATGGTTTTATGGTAATGCCTTCAAATGACCTTGAAACGCGTTATTTTACACGTGACCTGAATGACCTTGATCTTTGTATATGACATATGAGTATCGCTCAAACTCATACCACTCAAGTCTCGAGTCTCTTTGACTCTTAGTTTCTGAGAAAATCGCAAAAAAAATCAGCGAAAATAGCTGAATAGCCCTGTACAGGTAGTAGGTAGCTTTCGAAGGAGTTTCATAATCGCGAACGAGGGTAGTTGGTACTAATATAAATGCGATTCGTTAATTGTAGACTTTGAAAATAGTTAAATTTTAACTGAAAAAACAATTAGAATGATTTCCTCTATGCTTCCAATAAAAAGACAGTCATAACAATGGAAAAGTTATATGAACTTTAATACGATGAAGAATTAGGTCAATCGTCTAGACGAGATAAAAATACTTCTTGTTATATTGAACTTTTATTAATTAAAATTATCACAATAATAATATTCATAGTGTCTCTGATCTACAGCAGAGTAGAATGCACGAATACCATTTTTTATAATACCCATGAAATGACCAAGTTTTGCCCATATACACAATAGGGAAAAAATTGGATCAAAAGTTATTCTTGCTGACCTATTATCTTATATATCTAAGCTCATCATTATCTGAAGTAAGGTTATTGAGATCCAACATGGCCGAAATCAACGAAAATTGCTAACTTTTCCATTATAAATTTCTCATAGAGAAAATCGCGATTTTGGCATATAAATAAGAACCACAGTTGCACTTGATCTTTGAAAATTCTGAAAAAACTCACGATTTATATTTGATTGATGGCGTTTTCAATGGTGTTTGAAATTTTATTCTAGGACCTACCATTCTTGAGATGCTCACTCATTTTCTGTCACCCGATATTAATATTTTCAATTCTACTTTTGATAGTTAATTTTCGTTGAGTCCATCTTATAAATTAAGTTTACATGATAATGATTTGGTTTATCAATGAGAAACTATTACTTAATACTAAAGAGCAAGAAATACTACTGCTCTTCGAAGGTGAAAGAATAGACATGCCAATCTTCGATAGCGAAGATTGCTGTTTCTCTTTTATGGCCTGAAATGCGAAGTTCTTATCAATGTAAACAAGTATAATATTTTGCAACAAATTCGATAACTCAATCATCTTCTAGATCTTTTCATCTTTAAAAATGTGTTTAACTTTAAAACAGTTTCAACAATGTTGAACGAAAATATAGAAATAATGATTAGAAAATAAAAACAGTTTTTACAACTCGATAACTTTTAGAAATAAATAAATAAAAAACTTTTAGAATCAAATCAAATACTTTTGACACAATCAGATACTTTGAAATAGAAATTTAATCAATTTGGATCAACTTTAAATTTAAAAAGAAACCAGTTATCACTTGAACCTTTTACATATATCTAACGAGAAAGATGATAATCCAAGTAAATGGTCTTGATGGTCCTCTCATTTTTGGCCAACTCTCTCAAAATCCTATTGAAAATTGTTCGGCAACATACTAGATCCCTTAAATGTTTCTTTCCACAGGTTCTACAGGTGTACCCCTTACATCCTGTAATGTGAGCTGTTTCACCACAACGAAAACAAATCAAAGAGGACACACAATTATGATCAAGGGTTACTCTCTCTTTACATTTGAAACACTGATATAAACCAATATCATGGAAGAGATAATAACTTTCCTCATCAAAAGAAACCTCCATACCTGTAAAAGAAAAGAATGAAAAATTTAATTGAAATCAAATAACAAAGCGAAATACCAAGTAAACTTACTTCTCTTCAGGAGCTTTTTCATCCCATCGAATGTAACCTTAATTTTAAGTAAATCGAGACCATTAAATTTTTTAGTTTCATTATACACAAATTCCTCTCTGGCGAGGCCAAACTGTTCACCAATGTTGGTTACAAATTCGACATCGGTATGTAGAGACTCTTTGCGATAGAGACAAACATTAAAAGTAGTCTCCACATGATCAGTCACATCAGCAATATATCTCCGGGTGGCACAAATTCCTTTAAAATGGGACACTAGAGAACGAGCAACAGTCACCACAATTCCAGTTTCCACCTCGCTTATCAAACTAGTGACAGCCAAAACAGCCATTATGGGTCGATCAGCCAAAAGGCGTTCTTTAAACAACACCATTGTACCCATTGATCGGGTAAAATTTGGCGACACTAACAAATACATATAAATATTGTCCTCTGGTATGGCAACATCCGTATTCCTTAGCAGTTCCATTGATTTTATATTCCAAATTAACTAATTTGTAAATTGTTTAAAATTAATAGAAATTAAAATAATTAAAATAATCACAAATATAAGAATGGATTTAAATCTTTTCTAAACAGAAAAATTTTCAACTTAGAAAGAAAAGAAAACTCCTTTTCCGGCATTTGATTCCAATTAACCTCAATAGATGGAACCACCACAATCGATCTGACCGGAAAGGAGAAAGAAGCCATTTTGACTAAAGGTAGAAATCCAATCGACTCAGATTCCAATCGAAATTCTCAACTTTATCTGAATCGGAGTAACAAGGATCAACCTCCACACTTATATATTTAATCCCGACAAATCTTTCCTCCAGGAAGAATAGGTAATCTTTTGAAATACAACCACTTCCAAATACCCAAAGCCATATCAGACATTAAAATAAGCCTAAGTAAGAGCTGCCACCACTGCAAAATTGAAAATGATTCAGACCATTGACGAAAATGTAACTTTCTCAGGAAATATATCAATAACTGGAATCTCGAACTTAATCACTCAGAGAAAAGAAGAAAAATTTTCAAATGTTACAAAGAACTACAAAAGGTTCAAAGAAACCTCCCCAACTTGGGGTCACCACAGCGGTGATAGCGCACGGCGCCGTCATAATAATAGTTAATTGTGTTTGTTTAAATAAGTTTAGGTTAGGTCTTGACTATTAGCCTAATAGTATTAGGATTCATTACGGTCAAAAAAAAGCCTCTGATAATCAAACCGAACTTCAAGCCGAAGTAAAATCTGCTGAAAATGGAAATGTTGAGCTTACATACCAGTTGTATCGCCTTACCAGTTTACTATTTCTGTGTATATTTGTCGATAATTTATTCAGCGATTGGACATTTCTAGTTTCGATTAATCTTCTCGTTGACCACTCGATGGACAACCAATCAGACTCAAAAGACCACATTCTCAATGGAAGATTAAACTACTTATATCTTTCAATTTGATCGAAAAAAAATTAGGATGATGAAACAATTGATTAAATTGTTGTAGTTGAATGTCATTGAAAAGGTTCACCAATTTAATCAATAAAAAAGTAGAAAAAGTTTCGGCTTCTAAAAAGTGATTATTGTTTCTCTTTTTCTTACCAGAACAACTTCTCAAGAAAGAAACAAAGTTAATCGTTAACCAAAGGATCTTTTTATCAATTCATCTCTCGGAACTTTAATTAAACAATTAATCAGATTTCGCCTGTTAATTAATTGAATTTGGAAAATTCTGATTCGATTCGAAGTTGTTATTATTCAATGGTCCCCATAGAGAAAAACATCTCTTCATGTAAGCGGTTTTTCTGAGCAATTTGAAAATGTGATTAACTAATCAAGTGATTGTGACTTTTATTTATCAATTTAATTCAATTGTTGCTCCTTTTGTTTGATTCTTCTATCGTGTTACCTGTGGTTTCCTGTGTTTGTGGATTATTGGGTGATTCTGGAATCGATTTGTGTGTTGGTTTCTTGTTGAAAGAAAAATGGATAATTCAGAAATTCTGACAGAACCTTCTTTGACTTGTTCCTATCGAGCTCATAAGAATGAAGTTAATCATGTCCAGTTTAGTCCTGATTCTAAGAATTTGGTTACCTGTTCTAATGATCAACAAGTTATCTTTTGGGAATTCAAAGGAAATCTTGAAATTCACCGAAGCTACAGACTATCTGGACATAAAGATATTGTTCATTGTGTTGACTATTCACCAAATTCTGATTATTTTATATCAGTTTCTAGAGATAAAACCGCTTGCCTTTGGAGATTAGGCCCTGATAATCGGCCTAATCTAGAGCCAACAATCTATAATTGTCACTGTAGTACCATTCGGTCAGTCGGTGCTTCACCAAAAGGTGATTACTTTTGCACCGGATCAGATGATAAAAGTGTTAAAATTTGGTCAGCTTTTTGTAAAAATAAACAAACGGCTCTTCTTAAAGGACACATGAATTGGGTTCGATGTTGTAAATACTGTCCCAATGACGATCAACTTGTCGCCTCATGTGGAGATGATTCCTGCCTGTTTGTTCACGATCTCAGAGTTTATGATGGCCTTCCGTCCAAAAAAGTAACCAAAAGAGGAATCAAATTCACTTGCCTTGATTGGTATCCCAACAATAAAAATCTGGTTGCAATTTCATCTCATGATTCTTGTGTCAGGATATTTGATCTAAGATCTGACAAAGCTTTACAATATTATAATGCTCATACCGGTCCAGTTAACCATGTTGAATTTCATTCGTCTGGAAATTATCTAATCAGTTCATCGGATGATGGAACATCAAAAATTTTTGATATACTTGAAGGTCGAGTATTGTTCACCTTACAAGAGCACCAAGGAGCCGTTTATTGTTCAGCTTTTGCCAAAGATGGTAAAAAATTTGCTACCGTTGGTAAAGATTCAATTGTTAGCCTTTGGACAAGCAATTTAATCGTTGAAAATGATGAAAGTTTAATTGAAGACAATGATCAGGATACCGAAAGGATTGCAAGACGATTATCAACAAGTTCAGCTAAAGATTCAACTGATTCAAAGGCTTCTAATCGTTTAACAGCAAACAAAAAGACATCAAGTCGATTATCATTAGATCAAACTGTTGATGATTGTGGACAATCATTTGTAAATGATGAGGAAACATCTAAAGATCCATCGATATTAATTCAAATTCTCACTCAATTAGATCTTCTAACCGAAAGTTTATCTTCATTAGAGAAACGAGTCGGTAAAATAGAGAAAAGATTAGATAATCATCCATCTATTTAACGAAATTTTCTGTCTCTCAATTAACTTTCCAAGAAACTCTGAATCTCAGATAATTTAATTTCTATAAACTCTTCATTTGCTAATTAACTTTCTGATTCTAATTTGATTCTAAAAACCAAATGATAAAACAAAACCTATTTTCTTTTCTATCTTTTCTACTCAACTGTCTATATTTTAAACGTATAAATTTTCTCAAATTTTCTATGCAATTAAGTGTGAAAGTTTTATAAGACAAAAAAGAACGAAAAAAAAATCTAAATTAAATTTGATTCCAATTACAATTAACATTAAATTTTCGTAAATCAGTGCCATCTATTGATCGAAATGCGAACTATTCGAATCGGTTGCTAAGTTACTATGAAAATGGAATCCATTTGTTTTTTTTTCTGATTAGTTGAAATTGTCAGTTTACCTAATTAATAATTGCCCTTTAATTTCAATTGATATAAGAATTAAATCAACAAGATTCCATCATGTCCACAGCAATGCAGGTAAGTCTAATTGTCTACAATAAAGTAAATTAAGTTGCTCTCATTGTTATCATTTTTCAATTTTCAATTTTCTATTTTTATATTTTCTTTTCTCTGATTTGATTTGATTTTTTATCAATTGTTTTCTAATGTAATTTTATTTTCTCTCATTCTATTTTACATCCTCCCCTCCTATCTTTTGTTTTTGATTGTTGATTTTCTATAGAAAGCTATTGACCTGGTTAAGAAGGCAACCGAAGAGGATAAGAAACAAAATTATGAGGAGGCTGAGCGTCTTTATGAAAGTGCAGTAGAATATTTTCTTCATGTAATTAAATGTAAGTGTTGGGCCTTTTTCTTGTTTTAAATGATCAAGGTTGTTTATCCATTAGAAATTCTGAACTCAATACTTGATTTACCTACAATATCAGTTTGATTTAACTGATGGATACGTTTCGTACGCAATGACAAGAGCTGCACCTTATTTTTTCTCATTCTACTGGTTTTATTTTTCTCTCTTGCTCATCAGTTTTTATTTCTCTTCGATCTGTGGCTTATAATTTTTTCTCATTTTTATTCTATTCTTTTCTTTTCTTAGATGAAGCTCAATCAGAAAGGGCCAAAGAAACCATCAGACAAAATTGTACTGGTTATTTGGAAAGGGCAGAAAAGTTAAAGGAATATTTAGCAAAGAAGAACAAAAAGAAACCAGTTAAAGCAGGCGATTCCAATGGTTCCAAAGACAATAAAAGCGATGATAGTGATGAAGATGATAAAGATAAAAAGAAATTAATGAGCCAATTAGAAGATGCTATTGTTATTGAAAAGCCTAACATTAAATGGTCGGATGTTGCTGGATTGGAAGGGGCCAAAGAGGCCTTGAAGGAAGCTGTTATTCTACCTATTAAATTTCCCCATTTGTTCACTGGTAAACGAACTCCATGGAGAGGTATTCTATTATTTGGTCCACCGGGTACTGGTAAATCTTATCTAGCTAAAGCCGTTGCTACCGAGGCCAATAATTCAACTTTCTTCTCTGTATCATCGTCCAATCTGGTTTCCAAATGGCTTGGAGAAAGTGAGAAATTGGTTAAAAATCTCTTCACTATGGCTCGTAAACAAAAACCAAGCATCATTTTCATTGATGAAATTGACTCTTTATGTAGCTCTCGATCAGATAATGAATCAGAATCCGCTCGGCGTATCAAGACTGAATTTCTTGTTCAAATGCAAGGTATCTAAACTTAATTATTCTATATGATTTAATTTAGTCTTCTAAACGTTGTGGATATTTTCCTTTTTCTAAATAGGTATTGGTAGTGATAACGACGGAATTCTAGTCTTGGGAGCCACGAATATACCTTGGGTTTTAGACTCAGCTATTCGTCGTCGTTTCGAGAAACGTATTTACATTCCTCTCCCTGAGGAGCACGCACGCCTCACCATTTTCAAAATTCACATTGGTAACACTCCTCACAATTTAAACGAAGAAGATTTCAAGGAATTAGCCCATAAAACTGAAGGTTTCTCTGGAGCCGATATAAGTGTTTTGGTCCGTGATGCACTAATGCAACCAGTACGAAAAGTACAAACCGCTACTCATTTTAAAAAGGTAAAAAACGATTCAATTAACATGAACAATTAAATCCAATAGAGGTAAAATTGTTCTATTTATTTATCTCTATATATCAATAATTTTGTAAACAATAGAAAACATTTTATCTTTTTATTAGTCATCATAATTTCCTCTAATGATTCAAGGATAGATTTCTAATTGTAATTTACTTGTCAATCTTTCTTAGATTCGAGGTCCATCACGTTCAAATCCCACCGAAATTGTCAATGATCTGCTGACCCCATGTTCACCAGGTGATCGAGGAGCCATTGAAATGTCTTGGATGGATGTACCTGGAGATAAACTCCTCGAACCAGTGATCACCAAGAGCGACATGCTATTGTCATTAACAAGCGCTAAGCCGACTGTTAATGCCGCTGATTTGGTTAAATTGAAAGAGTTCATGGATAGTTTCGGACAAGAAGGTTAAAAGTAAACAAGGAAACGAAAAAAAAAACAACCAACAATCAACAAAATTTGTTAAATGTACAATATTTTAATCATATAAATTTACCTCCCTTTTTGAATTAAATCAACAACAATTAATTGAAATCAGTATCAGAGGGAAAATCTACTAAGAGATTTTAAATTTTGCATCAGTCATCAGGATCTTCACCCAACAATTAAATCAACAATATATTTCTTACAAACAGTGATTCTAAATTTAATATGAAAATCGCGATTTAATTAACTGTTAATTTGATTGAGACTCTCTAATTGTCTCTACCAATCAATGAACATTCAATAACTAAATGATTACAATTAAACAGGTTAATAAGTTACAAATTGGTAATAACCAGCATACGAGTTAATTGTTGATCACTTTTTTGATCCACCAAGACATTTGGGCGATGAGTTAATTGTTTGAGTTGATTGTTCCCATTCAATTGGTGTAAGAGCTTCAATTGCCAGAGCATGAACACCAGATTTTAATTCCTGATCAAGTATTTGATTAACTTTCCGGTGTCTCTATTAAAGTATCAAAAGGATTAATTGTGATTAGTAAACGAAATGGTGAACAATTAAATATCTGATTACATTTACTAAATTGGTTGAATCAAAAGACGATGAAACAATTAAGACACGAAAATGAGTCTCCGATCCTTTCGGTACATTATGTTGATTTGATTCATTGATTACCAAACAATGAACAGGCTAATTAAGATGAGAGAAGAAAAGAAAATTTAATTTAATTATTTTCCATGTTTACAATTAAATGAAAATTGGAAACAATTTGAGTTTTTTTCGTTAACGATAATTTTTAATTATTTCAACACTTTTAAAGCAATTTGATTGCAACAAATTGAAACATTTAAAACAATTAAACAAATTAGATTGGTGAAATTTTTGTTTCCTCTTAATGAGATTTACAATTAACAATTTGATTTAAAATGAGAGAGGAAAAAGTTGACAATTAAAGTCGATAACGGAAACAGTAGAGATACAATCAAAAACGATTGTAATTAAAGTGTAATATTTTGTTGTAGAGATCAAAGTTAATTATTGCAATTTACTAATTGATTGTCATTCTTTGAGATTAAATCAATTAATTGTGGAAGTGAATTAAATTGTATTGCAGATGAGAACGAAAAAATTATCAATAATCAAGAAAATTGGTCTTAGTTAATTGCTTCAATTGGATCACAAATTTGCAAGCTGACGATTGATTAACTAATCATGATATGAATTATCAGATCCAAATGGACCGACAATTAAATTAAGATCATTAAAATTAATTATGTGACCAAAATGACCAACAACAATTGACGGAAAGTTAATATGGTCAAATTAGAGATTCAAATTGGTTGGATAATTGGAAAGGAATAAATTTTGTGACATTTTCCATGATGATTAACGTTAATTTGACAAGTTAATTAGATTGCGATTTGTTATCAACTGTGTTCCAAAGCTTCGAGTATAGTTCGAGGTTGTTGTTTTCTATTACAGATTCGATAGATTGAAGTGAAAAGCGGAAATTGTTCAATCAGATTTTTCCTAATTAGCAGTTGATGAACAACATCCGCGGTGTTTGGACCTTGGAGCTTTTGTCCACCCAGAAGTTCCCGTTCTAGAACTGCGAGAGATTTGGTTGATTTAACAAATTCATCGATAACTTTACGATTTCGTCCACCAAAACTACTCGCAATGGCATCGGCGATACCACAGTTCTCAAAGAAAGTGGACAGTTTATAATCAGGGTGGAAAATACCAACAAACTGAATAGCCTCTCGTATTCCAGCTCTAATTGCGGCTGCCTTGGTGTTTACTCCATACCCGATTCCGTCAATGATTCCAGCACCACAAGAGATGACATTTTTCAGAGCCCCACAAATCTCAACGGTCGGTGTATCGTAGCAAAGGGATATCTTAAAATACGAGGTTGTAAACAGTTTCCTTAGTAGATCGTCAATCTCTGGGGATGAAGGTAAGGGTGGGGCAAGTGTCGCCTCACTAAATTCCTCTTTGGCCACATCAAGAGCGACATTGGCACCTGAAAGAACGCCCATTGGAATACCAAGCATTCGAGAGATAATCTGAGTGGTTCGTTCCAAATTTCCTTGAGAATCAATGTGAATTCCTTTAATAAGAGAAACACCAATAGGCCTTGGTTTGGGAATGCTGCTTTTGTGGATCTTGTAGCAAACATCTTTAATATATTCGTGAGGAATCGCGAAAATTAGTACATCACTTCGAGAAATGGCCTCGTGTAGATTGGAAATCGGTACTATGTTGGGTGGAAGCTTAATCTTCAATAGATATCTAATATTGACCCGAGTCTTTTCAATCACCAGCCTCAGGTTATCATCTCGAAGGTACAATACAACTTGCTGGTCAAAAAGGTTCGGGTATTTGGTCACATTGCCGGCGATCACTTTTGATATCGCTGTTCCCCAGCTTCCACCGCCGATAACAGTCACTCTACGAGGTTTCTCATAATTCTGGTTATTCTGGTTAATCGGGTTCAATGGTGACGATGAGTTTTCCCTTGAAGAGGATTGATAATGTTGACTTGTTGCCTTTGGTGACCAAGAGCTGTGATAATCCAAAATTAAAGGGCTACTTTCAAGTTTATCTTCATAATTAGTGTGATAATTTTTTATTGATTCTTCACTAGAGATCTATTGTTGACATCAAGATGAACAATTAAATCACCAGCAATTAGACACAATCAAGATAGAAATCAAGAAACACCAGAGAAAAGGGGGTTGAGGAAAAATGAAGATTAAATTAGTAAACAAAAAAGGAAAACACCAACAACATAGTTGATTAATTATCGTAATTAGATAGACTACAATTATCTCTCAATGTTCAATCAAAGGTTAACAATAATTAAATTCAATCAAAAACAGTAATTAAAATAAAACAGAAACAAAAATGACCAGAAAAAAAATTGTAAACAAAGACCAAAGGTTAAGATAATTACTTGAAATTGGAGAGTAACTAGAAAATTAGGAAAACAATTAACTCACCTTGAGATGATTTTCTAATTTACTTTTGATTGTTTCAAGTTTAGGTTGATTAAGTGTTGAGCTGAGACGGATAAATTGTTGATTTAATCGTAGACTTTGTTTAAAGGACATTGTAATGTTTACCTAAAAGCGCAACAAGAAAAACAAACAACCAAATTTAGGAAAATAAATTGATTGTTAATTGTTGATTGTAATTGTCGAGATTGAATAGATGAAATTGAAAACCAAATCAATGGTCAATTCTAAGGCACAATGATCACTAAATATGATTAAGTAATAGAAATTGAGGAAAAAGATTGATTTAAATTATCGATTGACTGAACAATAACCTCACCCAGTGAACATGAAAATCTCAATGAATTGAAATGATATCAAGTCGAAGACAAGAAAATATTAATCATCGATTAATTTACTTTGACATTGATTTAGAAATTTTTATCGAATTAGAGATGAGAATTAAATTGTTCTTGCAATTTAATTAGAATGAATTTTTAATTGTTCTTTTTAATTTATTTTAAATAATTGGTGAAAATGTAGGAAAGTTAATCGTTAATAAAAGTAGACAAGGAAAAAGATTATATTAATAATCGTTACATTTGTAATATCACAGCAATTAGTTAATTTTTTGTTTATTATTAGAGGGAAAAGATCATGATCATTTAGTTTGGTAAGCAATTAGTTAATTGCTTAGTTAGGAGATGGGTGAGGGTTTTCATGCTTGGAAAAATTGATGAGACGTTAACGTTTTTTAACGAGGAGAAATTAATTGTTCAATTGTAATAGATGATCAGATTCTAATGATTGATTTTTGGTACCATTTTGATGATTTAGGAGGTGATTTAGAATTTGAGAATTAATTTTGATTTGATTGGGGTTTTTGTGAGTCTACGATTTCAGTGGGAGTATTATTGCTTGTAGATGCTGAAGTTCCTGGTGATGAAGGTGATGATTGTTTCAGTAATTGTCTTTTCCAGACAGGATCCAATGCGTGTTTAATTGGATTTCCCTCCTCGTCGAGGGAGTACCAACGATTCGTTCCTGGTATAATGTGTCCACCGCAACAACCAGGCCATCCTTCGGGCGGCATCACCTCTTCTTCGATATCCTCTTCCGATGATGACCAATATTCTTGAGGTAAGTCCCAGCATTCGGGAGGGTAAAGTTCACGTAAAGAACAACGTTCTTTGGTTAGGTATTCACGTCCATCTCGATATTTAGGATTTAACCTCGATTTAGGGATATACATTCTGTGCTTTTTACTTGAAAAAGAAGAAATTACAATTAAATTACAATTAAATTGATCAGATATTCGACGCTTCTTAAAACTTACTAGTACGGAGGCCGAATACTGGTACGACCTGGTTTTACTCTACGACGAGGCTTTACGGTAAAAGATGGATCGTCACCGACATCGTCATTAGGACCAGGACGGAAATGTCGACAAGGAGGTTGGAAGCGACGATAGTTAATAGCTCGATCAATTCTTTGATAATCAGTTAATTCGATGTACCTGTAACGTTCATTTAAAGAGGCCCAAGGACTATCACGATACAAATCTTCGGGCATTATTTTCCCTTCAAATTTAAGTTGCTCTTCGAATCTTTTGTAAATTAATTCCTCTGGTCCACTTTCAATTAGGGTCAAAGTCAAACAATCAACTCCTAAAATAAATGATAAAGAATATAATTTAGTACATTATCAGCTAATTGTGACCGATAAAAGTAAACAATCCAAAACAACCACTTAATTAACCATAAGATTAACCTTTTCATGAGAGTTAATTTTTCTTAAATATCAAGTGTTTCAGCCAATCATTAATTAGCTTTGTAGTGTCAATTTAGCAATTTAACTCACCAAAACGTCCAGCTCGACCTACTCGATGAAGAAATGTCTCTTTACAATCAGGAATATCAAAGTTAATTATCATGTTGACATTTTTGAAATCAACACCTCGACTGAAAAGATCAGTGGTCACCAGGATATTGAAACGATGACCATGGAAATTTTTGAAAATAGTAAATCGATCTGGTTGATTTAGATCACCAAATAAATAGGCACAACTGTAATCAGTTGAACGGAAATCATTTGCTATCTTCTGTCCACTGTAATTAAAAAGATGAATAGAAAGTAAAAATTAGTAATGAACAATTAATGAACTATTTTTCAACAAAAATCTGAAGAAATTGTGAAAATAGTTGATGATTTGATTAGATGACCGATGGACAATCATCAACATGAGATTTAATTCTCATCAAGAGTTTAACTTTGCTTCTTGATTGTCATCTGAATAATCCCAAGTGTTGAATCTCAATCATTGTTACAATTTAAAGTGATGAAGATGTAGACTTTTTTCAAGAAAATTGCCTCAAGAAATTAGATTAACAATCAAGTTTTCTATTGAATAATAATGTTACCTTTCTTTGGTGTTCACAAAAATAATCATCTGACTGAAGGATAAATTGTCGATCCATTTTTTGACCACTTCGAGTTTTAGAGCGTAATTTGTCTTGCTGGGGACAATCGCGTAAAACTGGCTGTTTCTCGTCGGGAATAGGCCGTCATTTTTATCGGTAATAACGTGGGGATCAGTAAGATAAGGTTCTATTCGGACTTTCAGATCATCACGAAAAGTGGCAGAAACGGCGATCACTTGTTTAGATTTTGGTAGACGAGCGATCAAAGCGGCCATTTGTTGTTGCAATTGATCAAACAGTTTATCCGCTTCATCCAATACAAGTAAACGAATGGAACTTGGGTTAAGGTGACCAAGTTCAATTAACTGGATTAATCTTCCTGGTGTACCAATAACAATTTGAGCTTTTTCAAGTTCTTCAGCATCTTTACCAACTTTAAATCCACCGGTTACAAGGCAAACTTTTACATTCTCATAAAAAGCACCAATGGCTCGGGCAACACCGGCAACTTGGAAGGCAATTTCTCGAGTTGGTGCAACGACCAATACCTGAGTAGATTCACCAGGTACCAATGAATCAAAAATAATACAAGTGTAGGCACAAGTTTTACCAGCACCCGAACGAGCCTGAATTACCATGTCAACACCGATCCTACCCAATGGAATGGCTTCTTTTTGATGAATGAAAGCTTACTAAAACCCGAACGAGCAAGACCTTTGAGAATACGAGGATCAAGGTTTAAATAATCAAATTTATGCCGGTCAAACATGATCTCATTAATCAGACCATCGTCATTTTTAAGGTCACGAGCGATCAAACCATCGGCAAGATTATCCCAATTCTTTGCATCTTTTTCAGCCATAATGATATGAAACAAATGAAACAACCAACCAAAACCGAGATGAAGAAAAACTACTTAAAAACAGAGAAAACAAATTTAAAAAAGGTCACAATCAAAGGACGACAATCAAGTGAACAATTAAATTAAAAACATCAACATTAAATTAGCGCGATGACAAAAAATCAAATTAGAAAATCAGATGAGCGAAAATGCGAAGACACCGATCGCCATCTACCGATGAGAAGATTAACTGAATTTCGACCTTGGTGGTGGTAACGTCTTTTTTTTGTGCTCCTGGAAAATTCTTAAAAATCTGAATAAATTTATATGATAGTGAATAGAATTTAAATAAAAAGTGATTTCTAGGTGTACTAGTGATACTGTGTCATCAGAAAAAGGGATAAATATGAACTCAGCATCAGGAAATCAGCCTGAACTTAAACGTCTCAAAGGTAAGCGATGTAAACATAACAGAAGATTCCTCTTAGAACAATGAATCTTAAACATCACACTTTAAACCTTAGATTTAAACTGAATATTTAAACACAAAATTAAAACCAAATATTAAAACTCTAAATTAGAATTAAAAACAAATAGTAAAATCCAATACAATCAAACAAACAAATGATTAAATAATAAATTTAAAATGATCTTTCACAGACCTAAGACTTTCCAACAAAAACAAATTCAAAATATTGATGAATTACTTTGAAAGTCAACATGATAAAAACATGAACACTGAATTGGTCCAAGCGGAACTAACTGCATACCCGATTATTAAATTCTTTCAGCTTATGATGAAAGATCACACCTGGTTAAAGGAAATACCAAAAGAAAAACTCCTTGAAATCAACAAATTCATTGACAGATTAATCCACATTAACAACCAAGTAACAAATGAAATGGAAAAAGAGGACAACCAGATTGAAATACAAAATCTCTCCAACAACCAGATAAAAAATTTGCTCTCGATTCAAGTAAACAAAAGACAAGATATCCCGAAAACATGGTATGATGTAACGCATATAAAAATACTGTATACGATTATTGTGAAAATACCGGGTCTCAAAAATGAAAGAGAAAAGAAAATTGGAGAAATCACCACGGAATTAACTGAAAAACTACTAGAAGAAACCTCGGAAGATTCAGGATCAGCAGAGGAGGTAATTCCAGGATTTGATTCTGCAAAAGTGAGATGCTCGAGCACTTCTGAGAGAATCAAAGTTTTCAACTTTCTAAAGAAATCAAAGCCTCAATGGTTGATCCAAATACCACCGATACAAGATCCACAAGTAAAATTATCTGCTGTACGATTTGATGAGGAGAATATAAATCTATGGCTTGAGCGGCTGTTCATTAAGAATCGATGGAAACGCTGTTGGAAAGCGTGTATCAAACATTTCTACAAAGTTGGAAAATTATATGACGTGATACTGGAGGTTGACCCAGCTCTAAGAGAATGGATTGAGCAAAGAAATGGATTTGTATCGGCGGGATATAAGAGAATATCAGTAGTGGACCACTTCGATATTAAGCAGTGTCGAAACTGTACCCGATTTGGTCACCTCGCAAATAGATGCTCGCAGATCAGCTTATGTCCATATTGTGGAGGAGTTAATCACTTTCATGAATCCTGCGAGATTAAAGACTTACCACACAAGTGGAAATGCCCAAATTGCCTGAAAAATGGAGAAAATGCTTGGGAAATCAAATGTGCGAAATTTCAAGAACGATTACTACATGAACTGGAAAAGAAAAATTATCAATACAAGCTAATCATGGCCTAAGGAAGGATTAATAAAAAAACAATTAACACTAATTGCTTAAACAAAGAAAACATCATAAACACAAAATAATTATCGTAATAATAACAAGAAACTAACACTTTTCCTTCTGCTAACAATTAACAAACTCTCTTCTCGCTAACAATTAACAAACTTTCCTTAATTAACAAACTTCCCTTAATTAACAAACTTCCCTTTAAGTAACAATAACAAACGATTCCTTCTTCCCACACTAACAATCATCTCCTCAGGCTGAAAAGTAAACTAATCCCTCAGCGAGATGTTAACTCTGTTACTAATCAGCAAGTTAATCATCTTAGCACTCAATGAAACTGCTAATTACCAAAGCTACTGATCCTCAAACACTAACAAATAAAAGAAAAACAATTAAGAAAAACAATTAAGAAAAATAATTAAAATATTAAAAATAAAAGTTGCCCTAGAGAGTAAATGTATCACAGATCAAAGGTTAGTAGACTCATTCAGTACAAACTTGAATCTCGTGTTGAAAACAACAATGAATCAACAAATAAAACGTGAATTACAGGCCAAAAGACTTGGATGGTTAAAATGTCCACCACATATTAATAAAACCAACTCAATACAAGTTAATGTAGAATCTGAAATAGATCATTTCATAGCCTTGATAATTGAATCAATTTGTGATTCATCTAATAAGTTTACTTACTTTAAAATAAGAAAATCGGGAAGACTTGAAATTGGATCGATAACTAGTGAAGTGAAAAAGGAACTGTGCTCAGTGATATCAACGATCTTTCCGGAAGTGGTAATTTATGACTTCGAACCCACTCCATCATCAATCAACATCATAGTGAAAAAAGTACCAACCGAATCCTTCAGCTTTATAACCAACAATATAATAATATCAAACCAATTGGATAGAGATGATCAAACCTTTGTCTCTGATCTAAAAATTAAAGAGGACGGTTATCGAATCAAATTAAACATAAGTGAAAATAATAGAGAAAAAATTCTTGATTTGGATGGTAACTTATGCTTCATGGGTGTGTTTTATCCAATCACTGATTCACTCAACATTGGTCTTTGTCATTGCTTGGAAAAACATAGCAACTGTGGGGAAGAGATTCGATGTCATTTGTGTGCCGGGCGTCATAGTGGTAGTGTTTGTCCTGCAAAATTAAGCAAAAGTTTACTTAAATGCTATCACTGCTCTGGTGAACATTCGGCCTACTCAACGAACTGTGAGTACATCAAGAAATTGATCAACAAATCAGCACGATATCGAACCATAAAATATGAATGGATCATCGGGAGAAATGATAACAATGACCTATCTTAACGCGAGAAAAAATTACAAAATCACTGAGGATCTACTGAGAGAAACCAGAGAAAATAAAAATAAGGTTCTAATTCTGGTTGAAAACAATCACCGATCCTCACTCAAACATCTAAGCCCCCATGTAATCATCAACGATCAAACTCTACTGTCAGTATCACCTAACATAAACATCTTAGCCAGTGAAACTGATCTTAAAAACTGTATCATCTCATTAATTCAAGTGAAAAAACATCAACTAATTCTGGTCGGTTCATACATCAGTCATGATGACATAAGAAAAAACATAATTGAATTCACGGAAAAAGTGAGTCTTTTCACCATCTTTCCACTGATAATCGTAATGGACGCAAATTGTGAAGATAAGCTATGGTCACTTAAGGAAAACAAAGTTGAAAGCAGTCGAATATTAGCTGAATTCATCAGGAAACACGATCTTCATGTTATGAACAGGCCTCGTACCGACAACTACACCTTCCAGGCTCGTGGGAGTGTCTCATGGATAGATGTCAGTATCACGAACTTAGGAAACTATAAGATAACAGAGGGTGAAGTAGAAACTGATCACAGGAAATTCATATTTCAGTATAAATTAGAAAACAGATTCATTAAGAATAAACATCTAAAAACAGTCTCAATTCTAAAGAAATCTAAGCTAGAAACTACACTAGGTGAAGATTATCAGATGACATTTAAAAAAATACATGAATTTCCGGTCAAATTTGGTGAGAAAAAGAAGATTAAGGTCAGTAGCAGCAACAGAAGAATCAGGAAAATAAGGAAGAGAATCAAGCAGTTAAGAAGAAGGAGAAATAGTAGCAATGAAAATCTAATTAGGGAACTTGAACAAAAATGTCTACAGCTAAGAATTAACAAGTACAAAGGTACGAAAAAATATCTATACAGCATTAGGAAAGACTCAGAAAAATCATGGACCTTTTTAAATTCATTTCTGAAAAAGAAACAGGAATTAGCTAACTTAGTAGACAACAACATAGTCAGACCTGACCTGAGTCAATTTAGCAGCAATAGACCTGAGACTTTACCCGAAATTGGGGTGAAATCGGTTGTCGATACATGCGAGGAGAGGTTCATATCTGAATACAAGTGGAAAAAAGGATCAGGAAATGCTGATGAATTCTCGTGGAAAAACTGGCAATTATTTTGGAAAACAAACAAACACATGATAATACCTCAGATCAAAAAATCAATTGAAGATGGAATAGTACCAGCATATGCTAAAACATTTGGAGCACATTATATACCCAAACCCAATAAATCACTAAGATTGATTAAAATTTCGTCCTCCGTCTTAAAAATCTACGACAAATTAATAACCAAACGTATACAGAGGAAACTAAAAGAAATACTCATTCCGTCAACGCAATTTGCCTACGTATCATACCAGGGGTGTAATGAATTTCATGTTATTCTGAGAGAGCATCTTAGTAATGGGATTGTAATCGCCGTCGATGCGACCAAAGCATTTGATCGAATATCACTTGAAGTAATCTATCAAGAACTAACCAACCACATTGATGACGGAACACTGTCTCTCATTAGATCGTTTCACACGAACAGAGTACTAAGATACAAAGAGAATGAGAAAATACTCTATAAAGCAGATGATGAGGGAACAGCAGCCGGATCATCACTGGGCCCGATTCTCTTCATCATTGGCCTCAATTTTGCGATAAGAGAAATAATGAAGAAAGGAGTTAAAGTAATTTCGTTTGCTGATGATTTGGTAATCCTGTCAACCATTGAAAATAAAGAAAATGACCTGGAAATTGTGCGAATGGAACTGGCGCGAATTAATCTAGAAATCAATCAAGAAAAAACCAAAGTAATCACAAAAATGAGCTCAAGGATGGAAAAAGTGGTAGGAAAATACATCTCTTACTCAATTCATCCTGACAACTTAGAAAGAATAATAATAGAACACAATCCAAAAATTAAACACCAAATCAAATTCGTAAATAAGCTTCCCTTACACTTTCAGCGAATAGCGATACAAGCACATTACACACACTGTGTGTACCAATTTGGTCCACACTTGCTCTTTGAGAACAAAAATTACATTAACACCATAATCAATCTACAAAACACAGTCAACAGATACATGAAAAAAGCTCTTTGTATTCCAAACAACGTATCCAATTGGACTCCAGTAATAGTTTTCAACATCGTAAATCCATTACAAATTTGGCTAACAACAACAATCAAAGCCATCAGAGGAACATCTAATGATAATAAGAAGTGGCCGATACTTGAAGAATTCAAAACACGAAAAACCTTCACTGAACCGAATGAGAGCAGCACGAGAAAATTCTGGGATCGCCGAGTAGATCATTCCTCACTCATCTGTGTCAATTATAACATCAAAAATAATGAATTTTCTCTGGATGATGAAAAAACAGTGTACGAATCGGATACTGTGAACATTTACAGAAATCACATACTAGCGATTTACTGTCTAGTAAACAAACACAAAAACACGAATGTAAACTATGTTCTCCCTGAACTGATTGTAAAATATCCGAATTCTGAATCGACAAAGGCAGTGATAAAAATAATGGAAACTCACGATGAGGTGTACACCTGGACCACAACAAATGACTATGGAATGATACCAATAGACTTCAGGACAAAAATCAAGATAAAGAACCGAATATGTACAGAAAAAGAAATCATGAAAGAAATGGAAGAGAAAATATCAGAAATGTGCCTAATGGGGAGGAAACCATCACTTTTTCAAACCTTTTTTCCAACAAAAATAGAAAAAGTTTATGACTCGTACCATGGCATGAACGTTAAGAGACTTATCAAAATGTGTAACAAAATAGAAACTCTAACCAGTACACTGAACACAAGAAAAAACAAAACCAGAATGATCACCCACTACCTAAATGAGTGTGAAAAAACAAGACAGTTTCATATGGATGACTTAAACCTAACCAATAACAATAGAATCAAGGAGAAAATCGAAAAAATAACAAATATTGTACTAATACTTGAACAAAAAATATGTAACCTGGGCGACTAGCTCAATGCCGCAAGGCCATCAGACCCACCAGTCTGGTGATCATGTTTAAAGCATGAACCTCAAGGAGGTGCGAATAAAGACAAAAATTTTCTTTGTTAACAATTTTTAGTTTATTCTTTAATTAAGAAATTGATTAATTGTGTTAATAGTAATGATGATTAATTTAAATAAAATTATTACAATTAGTGGGCAGATTTTTGATTATTGTGAATTGGCAAAAGAAAGAAAAACAAAGCAAAAAAAATTTCGATGAAGAAAAAAAGTTTTGTCAAAAAATCGTCAAGATGATTTGATTCAATTTTCGATGATTAAATGATTATGATTATTTGTTGATGAATTAGATGAAGATGATTGTTATCAGCTGATTAATGATGATGATTGCGATCCAATTTATTTAATTAAAGTCGTTCAACTACATCACCTCTGAAAATGGAAAGAAATTAAGAAGAAAAAAAAACAAAATTAAAAATCGACATTTAAATTAATCTGATTAGTTTTAATAGTCGCAATTAGTGAACAGCAATTAATTATCTTCGTTAACATGCAAAGGATTAGAAGGCAATTTATTGAGATTAACCTGAATATCGGAACTGAGAACTTATTGTGTTACATTTTAATGGTAATTAAGTTAATTGTTGAGAGGAAATTGATTTTTGAGGTGTTTTGTTTGGACGAAATAAATTATAAGTGGATTAGTTGATTGAGATCAATTAATTTTTCGTTTTTTGTTAAATTGTTGAAACTTTTTGATGGTTAAAAGCATTGGAAGCGAATAAATAGTTTTAATTGTTAGACTGATTGAGAGAATTTAAGTTAATTAATAGGAGCCATACTTTTCGGTGAACTCCTCGTTTCGTTTACGAATTAACTTGAGTGACCTTTTGTCGTTTCGTCGAGAGATATAAATAACGGAAGCCAGTCCAATGGCGATCAACAAAAGGATGATCACGAAAGCGGTAAGTGACCAAGTGGCCGCTTGGTAGGATTGAAATTCAGCGATGGGAAAATACGGCGGGATAACTACGGTTGATGCTTCGATGGTGGAGAAAAGGTGATTCCAGAAAGCGATTAACCTTTCAGAGCGGAAATTTTCGGCCGCCCCTTGGCCGGTTCTTAAAATTCTCAGGTAAGAACGGGCAGTTGACCTGTAATCATGCCAACTACAAGGTGAACCTTTATCGTGAATGGCAGCTAAAATACACGAAAGTAAACTATTTGAACCTGGACTAAGGTCAGAATATTGGGAAGTGTAAACGGTTTTGAATAGTAAAAGGATATCGTCCATGTGAGTGGCCCTGAACTTATCTCTGGTCACTTCGGCTGGAAGATTTTTCTGAAGCATACCAAAGGTTGGTCGAGATGATTTATCTTCGTAAACGAAAAATTTACTTGGACTATTGTAATTTGAGTGAAGTAGTAACGCTTTTTCGGCGGGAAGATTGTACAAAAAGTCACCGAGCATCTTAAAAAGGGATAAAGAAACAGAAATTAAGATCAACCATAGTAGATAAAATCTCATATTAGAACTCAAATTACCTGAATAAGACGTTCATCTGTTTGTGCGGTTGTTAATTGTTTACCGCTCGACATCATTTCGCCCGATTGTCGACCCATTCGAGCCTCTTCCTCTGGGAAGTACTGATAATGAGCGGTTGCGGCAAGAACGTTAAGGTTGGCATAACGACGGACAAACGGGGCAATCAAATAGCGAATTTTCTCCTGTTTATCCGAAATTCCCAAGAGGGCTCGATAATTACGATAATAATCAAGGGCACCTTCTTGCTCTGAAATACCCGCAATAAAAGGTACTCGAGTAAAGAAGCCATTTTTCAACTGAATCTCGGGATCATCACGGAACAGAGGTAGACTAAGATTACGATCAATGGTTGGCCTAAAGTGTAAACCTTTGGTTCGAGCAGCGGAAAGAAGTTCAAAAACAGACTTAGACCGGAGACATCGAAGGGTATCTGAAGTACCACAACCCACCGCATAAGACAAATCTCGAGTAATAACAGCGGGCTGATGTTCAAATGCCCAAGGGGTGAAAACAGTCCCACCCGATGCAACAACAGCATTAAATAAAACTAATAAAAATCAAAACAAAAAGGTAAACAATTAAATCAACCAATTGTAATTGTTATTATAATACAATCATCTATATGTACCTGTATTGTGAGTCGCCAGCATCAACATATTGGCAGCAATAGCACCGGCATCGTGACCCACCAGGACAACGGAATTGGTGTCACCATGAAATTGTGAGATCTCTGATTGTACCCAACGAAGGGCCATAATCATGTCCCGAAGGGCAAAGTTACCATGAATATTATTGGAATCAGCGGAGAGGAAACCTTAACAAAAAAAAAGAAAGCAGAATGAACCAAATTGAACAACAATTTAAGTTAATCAACAACAAAGAAACTCTGATGATTATGATTGACTTACCCAATGGTCCAAGTCGATAGTTAATTGTTACAAAGACAAGACTATTAACACCGGGGGGTAAACTGTCAAGGGTGTAAAAGTCCTTCCCACCATACTTGAATTCCCCACCGTGGATGTAGACCAAGACTGGAGCGTTAACTGTTGCTGATCCCTAATCAAATTAAAATTGATTACAAATGATTAATGATTATTACTCACTCTCTGAGTCCAACCAGAAAATAACCAAAATAATGATTAACATTAAAAGCTGATTGAATTAAATCTAATCAAAGCAATTAAGATGAACTTACAACTTATATCACCCAACAAGTGAGAGGTTAAATTGTTAAACTTTAATTTATTTCAACAATTAAAGTTCATTTGATTTTCTATTTCTATTATTATTATTATTAAATTATGATTAACCTAATTGCTTATCGTTAATTTCCTATTTCAAAAGTTATCGTTTAATTAATGAAAACTTTTCATGTTAATTGTTGTAAGATTAATATTATTATTATCAGCGATTTGTTAATTAGGTTAATTGTGATTGGAAAATTTTTCTTCAATGATTTGTATTAGTTACTAGGATTTAATTACCGGTAATCAAATATCATGATTGTGTTGACAATTAACAATCAAAGTTTGATGATTGCTAAGAGACTTGTAAATTAACAGTTAATTGTAATAATTGTGATAGTTGAAACAATACAAATTAAATCAAGAGGCTCAACTAAACTAATCAACTAATCATGATGATATCCGGTTATTCAAATTGTTATTATGATTATTGTTTTGATGAAAATTAAATTACAACAATTTAAAACCATAGGGTAATAATTTAAATCTAATTGTCTTTATATGTTTGGCCTACAAACTAAATTTAAATGACAATAAAAATCATCAATGAATTAATCAGTTAATTAATTGAACATTGGTTTAGATGAGTAATCATTAAATTGTTGCAAATCATATTGGTGTCTTAACTATATTGTTTGCAATAATTAACATGACAATACAACAATTTAATAATAATTAATTTGTTATTGAAGAGCATTAATAAATTAAACAATTGACAATGATTAACAATGACTCATTTAATTTAATTTACTCGGATAAACATGATAAACAATCATTCACAATTAATTTCATGATGATTAAGTGTAAAACTGGAAAAAGTTTTCAACTTGAGAAACTAAATTAAGGATTAAAACTTTATTGCTGTTAAATTGTTGTCATTAATAGTTAATTATTTCAAGATCACCATCATCATGATCATGATCATGAATCATCATCACTCCAAGTTAATCACTTGGGTTAATCATAATCAAGATTTTCTCAATCAAATATTGAGTGACAGGTCGTCGATAATTGTGATAACTGTTCAGATCTTTTAATTGCTAATTAATTGGGTTAATTGTCACCTAACTTACCCTAGAAAGAACTTGAATATTAAGGTAAAGACAATCTTCAGATTCACCGATTTGAGGATCGACTTCGAGCTTGAATCGCTGTTCGACCTGAGGACACATGACCCGACGATTCGTTGCATCCATGATTCCAGTCCACTTATCGGGTTCTCTAGGATCCTGTTAATTGTTAGTTCGAGAAAACAATTGTTACAATACAATTGAATGAAAGAATAAATTGAAATTGTAATCAGTTTAATTGTCAACAATTAATGGACTTACGGAAAATCGTCTAACACCAATCGGTGGAGCTGCATAAGGAATACCAATGAATGAAGTGACCCTCAGGTCATTTTGATAGCCGATGATTGATTCTTTTCGACCTCGAATTTGTCCATAACGAGTATTAACAATTGGATCTCCATCATCAACACTCCAGCTAATTGTTGAACTAATCAACGAGAACATAATCCAAATAATTGCCACAGAAAACATATTAATTAACATGGTGATGATTAAATCACAAACAATCACAAAGATAAAATCAACAATCAGCAATTATATTTATTGATTATTGTTAAATTAAATTGTTATATCAATTGAAACAATTATGAAATAGCAAAAACTTATTTTATCACTTGAACAAAAAAAGTTGTTAACAGTTGAAAGTTAATTGTTACACTGATCCAGTATTTGGTTTATCATGTCCTTTCATGTTAACAATTGACTAACATTTTATCAACTAATTCAAATTTAATGGTTACACTACAATTTTATTTGATTTAGTTTATATTGCTTGAAAACGGATGTTGATCATTGTTGTTGTTTAGAATCACCAAGTTGGTTAATTAATTGAGCAAAAGAAAGTGAAGAGGCAAATTGTTATTAAACAATCAAGCTAAATTATTAAGTTCACTATGAGCAATACCACAACAATCAAGCTAATCATTATCATCATTATTTCCGATTTAGTTGATCATCGTTATCATCAAACTAATCATATTTAACTAATTCACTTCACGTTTCGTTGACAACCAATTTTGTTTTTTACAATAACTCTTGTTGTTAGGTTAAGATTTAAATATTGATTCTTGATTGTAACAATTAACACTCAACTTTGATGATTAATTGTTTAATAACGAGTAATCTTTAATTATACTAGAGGCATTAATTAAGCTCGATGGGTTTTTCTTAACTTTCTGCTTCCGCTATTAATTATTATTTAACTAATAATATTATTTTCTCATTTATCTCATGAGCAAATGATTAAATTAAGTAACCAAATTAAGCAACAATTTACAAATTAATTACTCTTGACAGTTGTATCATATGATATTAACGATGCTAAGGATAAAATCACCACTTAATGGTCAATATTTAAATGCTGTTATTAATTAATTCATGTTATTATCAATTGAATTGATTGAATTTTAATGAGAAAGTTTTTCCCCGACAATTATAATTGTTAATGTTATTTATTGATTTGGTGATAATTAAAGTGATTCAGATTATGCAATCGATTAAAAAAATGACACTCTTAATGATTGATACTCAAAAGATTAACTGATCAAGGTAATTGTTGTATTAACTGATTGGTCTATTGATCAGCGACAATTTAGTTCACATGAGAGTAAAATTAACTCACTTGGAAAAATATCTAATTGTTTGACCATTGGTGGTTGATTGTAATTATATTTTAATGATTGAAGATTTCAAATGGACCATCAAATGATTTAATCAACAATCAGTTTAATTTGATTGTACCGTTGATAATGTTGAACAAAGGTTTCGACAATAAGATAAAGTTAAACTTGACCATTGGAGTTTTCGAGGTAAATTGTGTTCGTAATTATAACAATTAACGCTAATCGGTGTTGTCTTTTAATTAGGTTGCTTTCCTTGGTTTCTTTGAGAAAGATGAAAATGGAAAAGTTCATCCAAATTACAAATCAATTAAAACGTTTCTTGATTTAATTATAGTTCATGGTAACTTCAAGTGAGTACAATTAACTAATTGTTCCAATAACAATCAGTGATAATATTGTCTCTCTCAGCGGTATATTAGTATGGCCACAGAATGATGAACAGTTTGGACATTACGTTAAGGACGAAGGCTACACGAAAGGGATGTTTGGTTTACTACAACGAGGAGTAAGTTGATTAGTTGATTGTCTCGTTGATTATGATGAGGTTTTTTTTTGTGTTTTCGTAGGAAATTGACTTTGGTTGGTTTCCAGCTCCATTTCACACTCAATCACCTCCAGGTCAATTCACAGCCCCTGTTACTGAGGATTCTTATTATTTACATAGTTTTCCTCGATCCTCATCGGCACTTAATCAAAACGTCATTGAAAGTTTTTCATTTTTCACTCCGAGCACTTGGTTAACTATCTTGATGATCGTCTACGTCCTTGAACTAATCATAAGGTACAAAGATATCGGTCATTTATCGGAAACAATACTCGCGACAACAATACGATTACCAGATACGCTGTTCAATCAACACTTTATGGGTCGATCTGTATTCCGATGGTTACAATTGATAATGTTGTCGATTTGTCTTAACGTTTTCACCGCTGCGTTCAATACAAGTACCATTGTTGGAAAGGGCGATCCTCGAGTAAATGAACTGAGCGATGTTGTCGAATACGATAAGACACCTTGTTTCTTTCAGGGAATTTCTATGTATGAACTTTTCGAAGGTAAAGTAACCAAAGCTTACGCGGACGTTTATGAACAAGCCGAGCGAAAGGGAACTTCAAAACCCATTCCTATCGGTTCCTTGCCCGATTACCAAGAATACTCAGCGCACATTGTTAAATTCGAGAGTGAAAAGGCCGGTAAAATTGGAAATTCGGTCGACGGGACTAACCATCCAGCAAGTGAATTCTCGTACTGGGCACCTAAACCTTTCTATCGGTCATCCAATGCGTTCATTTTCAACCCGAGGAAAAATACTGACCAATTGACCAACCGGATACTTTCATTGTAAGTAAATCTAAAAGAAATTGGATAATAACATTCTAATCTCTAATTTTAAATCAATCTTTTAGAACGAGTAAATTGTTACAAGCAGCACTGGTTGATCGATTAATTATTGAATTGATTCGTGAGGTAATACTTAATTTACCGCTAGACCTAAATCGTTACATCTTATACAAAAGAGCAGATGAACCAAATCAAATGCACATTAAATTTAAATCATTAGAAGTTGAAGGATTGAAATTGGTTTTCATCGGTTTAATTGTACTCATGTCAATCGCTACAATTTTTTTCCTCATTGAGATAATTGTCTTTAAATTATCTAAACCGAATCAGAAGAAATAAAATAATCAATTAGCTTGTTGATTTTTTTTCTTTCATTTCTTTGATGATTATTGAAAAATTGAATATACACACCGTTTAAAATGAATTAACTTCGATTGCACAGCATTTCGAGTTGATATTTTTCTTGTTTGTTACCGAGTTGGAGTGTCAAACAAACGCAATATTGTTGCATCATTTTCTTGTTTACAGTTTTCTTTTTGTTGACAAAATGACATTTTTTTTTATACTCTTACAAGGGAGAGAACAACAAGAAAAACTTATTAATTTAGAAAAACAAAATAAAGATGAAAAATAATATATAGTTTTTGAAGAAAGAGAGAGAGAGAGAGAGGGAAACAAGCGTTGAATTTGCAGGTTTGTTGACATTGAAATTTGATGATGATTCCGTTTGTCTCCATTGGATGATGATCTTGTTTATCGGTTAATTGTTGTTGTTGCTTGTTTGTTTTTCTTGTCTTTGGATGAGCAAAACCCTAACACAAAACATACTAACACAGGTTCATACTTCACCATTTGGTAGCCCCACTTGTTAAGCGTGTTGACCTGGTGGAGAAGTACGAATAACAAGATTAATAATGGGGAATGATCTGGTTTAAATGGTATATTATTTATTTCCTGATTAGTTATTTAATTTGCAATTAAAATCCGTGAATAACAGGATTAGAGAAGAGAAGAAGGAAAAAAAAGGAGAAATTTTTTTTTCATCGGAATCATTTAGCGGCTGGACCAGTAGATTGACGAGGATAAAATTCATTCAGAGTGTTGTGGGGAATACGCTTAAGCATATCACGAGGGAATATTCTCAATAACTGCCAACCGATGTCCAGTGATTCGAAGATTGTTCGATTTTCGTAATTACCCTGAAAAGAACAATTTTTTAAAAAAATTATTCGAATGTTCAAAATTTTCTTGAAATATGGTTTGGATGGTTTTAGATATTTTACCTGAGTAATAAAGTTTTTCTCAAATTTGGTCAAAAATTCAAGGTATAATAAATCTTCTGGTGTTAAATCTTCACCACCAATAACTGCTTTCATTGATTGTACGTCTTTACCGATGGCATAACAAGCGTACAACTGATTGGATACATCAGCATGATCTTTTCGGGTCATGTTTTCACCGATAGCAGATTTCATGAGACGACTTAGAGATGGTAATACGTTAATAGGTGGATAAATTTGCCTGTTATTCAATTGACGATCAACGTAAATTTGACCTTCAGTAATATAGCCAGTGAGATCAGGAATTGGATGTGTAATATCGTCATTAGGCATAGTAAGAATGGGAATTTGTGTAATTGAACCAGTTCGACCCTCTACTCGACCAGCTCTCTCATAAATTTGGGCCAAATCGGTGTACATATAACCTGGGAAACCACGACGACCAGGAACTTCTTCTCGAGCAGCAGATACCTTAATTAAGAGATAAAAAGATAAATTAGTACAAGAATGTAATGGATATTTGGATAGTAGAAAGTCAACTCACTTCTCTCAAGGCTTCAGCATAGGAAGACATGTCGGTAAGAATGACCAACACATGACGACCACATTGATAAGCAAGAAACTCGGCAGTTGTCAAAGCTAAACGAGGTGTAATGATACGTTCGATGGTTGGATCGTTAGCCAAATTAAGGAAAAGACAGACATTTTCCATGGAACCATTTTCCTCGAAATCTTGTTTGAAAAATCTAGCGGTTTCCATGTTTACACCCATAGCAGCAAAGACGATGGCGAAATTATCATCGGGTACATCTTTGTCAGGTGATCTAACAAGACCTGCTTGACGACAAATTTGTGCAGCAATATCGTTGTGTGGTAAACCAGAGGCGGAGAAAATTGGAATCTTTTGTCCTCGAGCAATCGAGTTCATAACATCTATGGCTGAGATACCAGTTTGAATCATTTCTTCAGGATAAGTTCTAGATTCAGGATTAATAGCTTGACCTTCAATATCGAGATAATCTTCAGCCAAAACTGGTGGTCCTCTATCAATTGGTTTACCAGATCCATTGAATACTCGACCCAACATGTCCTCAGACACTGGTTGCCGAAGAATATCACCTGATAATTAAAAAGAAACATAAATTAATTTATTTTCAAGTAATTGGAATAATAAAAGATGCAGGTAACATGATCATGCTCCATAACAATATGGCTGAAAAAGTCTGACTCTTTACTCTGTCTCTTTTTTTTACTTTTTTTCTTTCTTCCGTTATCTTTTTCTCTTTCGATTTTCTCTTTCTCCCTTATTTTCTAAAAGACTCTGTCTATCTAATTCTTTCTTACCTTTTCTCTTTCTCTCTTAACCGTCAAAGATAATTCATTCCTAATGAAGTAAAGATATGATAAGGTAATCAACGAAGCAATTGAGATTGAATGTAATTAATCACCAATTACATTAATAGGAAATAAACAAATAAGAATATGGAAAATATCAAATGTAAACTCTAACTGAACTTTAAGAATCTATTTTCATTTATAACGATTTAAAGCAACGTTGAAAGATAGGGTTGAATTGGAAGGTGGTTGATAATTTATTCTAACGATTGATATGATGGAAGATTGTATTTAGCAGGAAAGGTAAAGAAAAAGGTCTTTAACATACCGGTAAATTCACAGGTTGTATACTTGGCATCAATACCAGAAGTACCTTCGAAGACTTGAACAACAGCCTTTGATCCTCGGACATCAAGAACTTTACCAGTTCGTGCAGTTCCATCGGGTAGGACTAATTTGACAATCTCGGCGTACATTGGAAATTTAACATCATCAAGAATAACCAGTGGCCCATTTACACCACAAACAGTTTTATAAGCTAAACGAGGTTGATTAATATAATCTCGAGTAACGGCTAATTTGTGTTGAGTAACACCGACATTTTGAGGGACCCATTCGTTGATAGTCATTTTCTATGATGAGTGTGTGTAAATAAATACTCCTTCGACTTACACAATTTGTCCTCTACAGTTGACACACAATAGAAGGGATAGAGAAGCAGAGAATGAATCAAGTAGGGAGAGAGAGAGAGAGAGAGAGAGAGAGAGAGATGGAAACCTAAGAGAGAGAGAGAAAGAGAGTGAGAAAAAAAAGAAAGATGATAAAATAATGATGATAAAATGAGTGAATAAAAAAAAATGGGGAAGAAAACGGAAAAGACAAAAATGGATGATTACAGTTAGAGTTAAATTAGAAGCACAAATTTCCTTGAATATTTAAACAAGTTGGGTTACAATGGATATTCAATAGGTTCAATTGAACAATAAAGAATTAAATTAATTGAAACAATTAAGAAAAATGAAGGTAGACAATTAATATTTACCTTGATTAACACTCGCAGTGAAAAGTGGGGAGTATTTAAAAGGAAGGTCAAAATGAAGAGAATCGATTATGTCAGAACAGATAATCGATGTATCGAACAACTGATTTTCTCCAATTTGGTTTCCATTGGTTACCAATTCTTTTCCATTCTCAATTTTTTTTTCTCATCTCGGTTTTTGTTGTTCCGGTAAGAATAACAATCTGATTAATTGTGGAATTTTGATCAATTATCTTTTTTGTTAATTGTTGTTGGTCACTTGGTTTTCTTACTAAAAGTGAGTAGAAATTTTCTTTTTGGGTTTGATTTGGATTTGAAATGTTAATGTTAATGTTTTCCCATTTACTTGATTACTTTTTCTGTTGGATGTTTTTCTTGTTTTTAAATTTAATTTTTTGGTTTTACTAATTGTTGTTTTGTTATTTTGTTTGGTTTGATTTTTTTTTCTTAAGTGGATATTGCTATACCTGATGATCAGCCTGTTGCTGAGCCTAAAGATATTGCTACTTTGTTTCGGGAGCTGATGAAAGAGAAAAATGTTGGTTCTAATGCTTCTTGGGAATATGCTCTTAAACTTATTGGAAATGATCCGAGGTTTGAAATTTTTCGACATCATCCTGAGCGAAAGCAAATGTTCAATGCTTACAAAGTTCAAAAGGCCAAGGAGGAAAAGGAAGATCAACGCATGAAAGCGAAAAAAGCTAAAGAGAATTTGGAAAAATTTTTACAGACCAGTGATAAAATGCATTCCAATGTTAGATATAAACAAGCCTCAGAAATTTTTCGAGATAATGAATTTTGGAAAGCTGTTCCTGAAATTGATCGACGTGAAATTTTTACCGATGTAATTCGTTTCCTCACTGAAACTGAAAAAGAAGAGACTTTGAAACTTCAAAAGCGAAATACCAGAGTTTTAGCTGATATTCTTGATTCTATGACAAGTATAACTTATAAGACAACATGGCAAGAAGCTCAACAACAATTACTTGATAATCCCGTTTTCGCTAATGACGCTGATTTACTTGGTATGGACAAAGAAGATGCTTTAATTGTTTTCGAAGATCATATCAGACAATTGGAACAAGAAGAGGAAGAAGAGCGGAAACGAGAAAACAAACGTGTCGTTAGACAAGCTCGTAAAAGTCGTGAATATTTTCTAGGATTTCTTGATGAGCTTCATTCTCAGGGAAAGTTAACCTCAATGTCCAAATGGTGTAACCTTTACCCCGAAATTAGTGCTGACCCAAGATTTACGTCCATGTTATCACAACCCTTTTCTGGTTCAACTCCATTGGATCTTTTCAAATTTTATGTTGAAGATTTGAAGGCCCGATATGAAGATGAGAAGCAAATAATTCGTGATATCGTCAAAACCAGCGGTTTTCAGGTTGACATTAGTACAACTTATGAAGATTTTGCTACAGTTTTGAGTGAAGATGATCGAAGTGCCTCTTTAGATGCTGGAAATGTTAAAATGGCCTTTGAGAAATTGATGGAAAAAGCAATGGAAAAAGAAAAGGAAAGACTTAAAGAGGAAAACAAACAAAGACGTAAATTTGAGATTTCTTTTATGAACCTACTCGCCAAAATTGACCCTCCAGTTGAAGAGGAAACCGATTGGGAAAGGGCGAGAAGTTTAATTGCCGACGAGGAATTGTTTATTCGAATACCAACCGAAGCCGAAAGAGTCCAACTATTCAAAAGTTACATTAAAACTTTAGAAGAATCATGTAGTCATCACCATAGTAAATCAAAGAAACAACGAAAGGATAAAGATAAGGATAAAAAGAAAAAGAGTGAGAGGAGACGTTCACGTTCATCTTCTCTTTCTGACCATTCGCGACATCATTCACACTCTCGTTCGCGACCCCGAAGTCCAGACCGAAGTAGATCAATATCTAAATCTGTCTCAAGATCTCGGTCAAGATCAACACCTTCCAGATCCCGATCTCCATCATTATCAAGGTCAAGGAGTTCATCTCAACATCGCCTCCCCATTGGAAGAGGTGATTCCCGATCACCACCTTCTCCACCACGATCTCGATCCCGATCACAGTCACCACCCCATTTCACCATGAAACCAAGATCCAATTCGAATGACGGATTACGATCCAAATCGCCATCTCGAAGTCCAGTACGATCTCTTTCACCTTCTCCCGCTCGATCACAATCAGGTTCAAATCTACGAAGTCCATCTCGTGAGAGAAGTTACTCTGACGATCGAGGACACACCAAGAAAATTTCCTCCCACGGAAACAGTAAACGAAGAAAACAATCATCAGTGAGTTAATCCTCGATTCTCGTCCAGTGAGTAAATTAATCTCTGGACCATGAATCTGTTATCGAGGCTCGAAGACAAAAAAAAGTCATTTAAATCCTACCTTAACAATCAAAAAATCAACTCAAAGGTGATGGGCAGCATACGAAATAACGTATCGATCAACAGCCTCTCTCTCTCAATCACCAAAACAATTAGTTAATTTTTTTTATCATCTATCCAAACGATTTGAAAGAAAATTAACTTTCGAATTTACAAATCTCAATTCTTTTCCTATTTCTCTGTAACTCTTAATTATTATAAACGGAAATAAGTTATTTACTGAATATTACTTATTCTATTTATTTAAATGATAATCCTGTTGATTAATTTAATTATTTTCTCTCCATAATTAACTAACCCTCTCTCTCTCTCTCTCTCTCTCTTTCTCCCAATGATTAATCTTCTTTCAGAAATTAATCATTTAATCTTCTTTTCTTTAAATTTTACACTTTTTTCACTTTTAATTTCTTTCTCTTATTTAGGTTAACTCTACACCACAACCACCGCCACTTGCACCTTCATCACCACCGTCACCTAATCCATCAAGAAACTTTGACCCAAGTAACCCAATCCCATCAACATCAAAGTCATCACCTTACGAGGTCAATAATAATAATAGAAATGATCTCGATGAACTGGAAGCCGAACGACGGAAAATTTTGAAACAATTGGCCTCCCAAAGTATTAGAGATTATTAATTAGACCATTAATTTAATTGTTTAAAGCAATCAAATCAAACGAGATGAAAGTTAAATCAAATCTTAATCAAACTTTCATCAAAATTAATTATTTTTCACTATTGGACATTTACATTTTTTTTCACTCACCCAACAAGGATTCAATTTAATCTACAATTTAACATAATCAAAATTAATTGTTATCAATTATCAGATTTTATTGATATTTTGTTGATATTCAAACGTATTCATTTATATACAATTGGAATTGTCACAATTCTCGCTAATTAACTTTTCTTTTCAAAGTTAAACCCTAAATTACCTCATCGGAAAATTGAATCAAATTAATTTTCTATTAATCAAATATCTTAATTACGATTAATTTACAACTTTTTTTTTTCATTTCAGCCAAAAATTTTTTCAATCAAATTTTGTATCCTTTTCAATGTGGCAAAGTGCAATGGTAAATTCAATTACAATTATAATTGTATCTTGATTTTTAGGCCCTCATCTTGATTTAATTGTTATTAATCAACTGGTTTACAATCAAGTCTTCCTACACCTTAACCATTATCAACAACAATCGGTCAACTCTAATTATTTCATCCAGTTAAATTAACTATTTTCTAATAATCTTTAATCTTTAAATTAATTATTTTCTATTTCAACAATTTAGTTTATTCTAATTTAAATTAAAACAAATGAACAATCAACTGATGCCACAATTAAAGTAAAACTCAGAAAAATAATAATTGATCAAACGCTCAATGGAAACCAATCAATCAAAAAGATTCAGATCAAGCTCATCATCATAAATTTAATTAGATTTTCTAATTTTAAATTAACAATTAGTTGACCATCAAACCAATTAAATGAAAACTCCACTTAATTTGAATAATAAACTGAATTTAAATGTAAATTTGAACACAATTAAATCGCCATTGTTACAACCAAACCCAAATCAAGGTAAACATTCAATCAAAATGAATTACAATTAACCAAATGAAACAATTAAAATACATAATGTATAATATCAGAATTGACAACAACAATTAACATTAAAATGTTACAATATAAAATCAAAGTCCCAATCACTAAATGAACAATAAACTGAATCAATTTTCCAACAACAATGATGATGAACAATTAAACCAGTGAAAGGAAAACCACATAATCAACGATGATTTAATTGCGATGATTAAATTGTTATGATTAAATTATAATTCGCAATTTATTATAACCTTTGGGCAGATTGGGCTGAAAATAACACGAATTCAGGCCAGTTTTCAATTCGTTGACCAAGTTAGTTAATCAATCGACTGGTCAAACATCTTCCTCCTCATCTTCCACCTCCCACTTGCTCTCTTTCTTCATCCTATCATTTGTCTTTCTTTATCATCATTATCATCTTCAACTCCTCCTTCATCTTCATCTTTATCATCATCATCATCATCATCATCATCATCATCATCATCATCATCATCTCACTCTCTCAATTGTGATGAATGATCAATATTGATGGAAGAAAAAAAAAGAGAGTAACTTTTAATTCTTGATTCACCTTCGTTAGTTAATCAGGACAACGTTTATCCATCGTAATTAAATTTAATTTAATTGCATCATTTACCCTTCACTGGATTCCCTTGTGTATTTTGTTTATTGTGCAATTAATTTAATCACAATTAAACAAGGATAATGTTAAGCTACATTGTTTATGTGTTTTGCTTAATCTCATTAATTGGTAAGTTGATTTTCATTATTATTAATTGTTCACTTGTTAATTGTTCAGATAATTTGATGGTTTCACTTAAAACCCATGTTGAGTTGCTTAATTTTCATCTAATTAAATTTGACTTCTAATTGTGATTAGTGGCAATTAATTCAATTTTTTTGTCTTAATCAATGTGATCAACTTATTAAAACGCATTAATTTAATTTGTTGATTGTTGTAATTACATTTGATTTAGATTTTATTTTCTGATGAACTAAGCAACCAAACTTAATGATTGTGATGATTAAGTTAATTACTAATTGTCATTGATTGAGAAAAGCTTGTTGATTAATCTATAAGCAAGGATTTTGATTGTTTCTAAATTCAATTGACTTCAATTTGAAACAATTAAAATCTAACCTTCTAATCAACTTTAATTGTTTGTCTATTCTAATCACAATAAGATGACCAATTACAATCAATGATGATGGCAAATGATTAGTTAATTCTTACAATTTCAAATATCCTAAGTGGTTCAATGTAATCAATTGATTATTCAGCAACAATGATTTTAATCAAGATGATGATTAACAGCTCTTAACAACAATTTATCAACAATTTAAAGTCCATGGTACTGATGATTTAATAAGCTAGTGGAAAAGGATTGATTAAGAGTTGGCAATTAACTAACAATTAATTAATTTCTTCACAACCTTTTGTTATAAGATTGAGACAATTTGTTAATCATAATCATTTTTTCAACAATTTAAGTAATCAACTAATTCAGGTTTCTTCAAAAATAAATGATGTTTTTTTCATGTTGTTAAATTGACAAAACAGGTCACACAATTAAAGGTTGAAAATCAAATTGTTGCATGTTGATTATGATTAAATTGTTGGATTATGTCCTCAGGCAATGTAAGAATTAGTTCAGAGACAAGTTTAAATTGTTTGATTAACAAAAAAACAAAAACAAAAATCAAATTAACGACAAGTATCAACATAAATTAATTGTTTCCACAATCAAATGTCATCAAACAATCAAAGATGAGCAACAATTTGATTTCCAATTCTCACAACAAATTGTTACAATTACGAAATGATTTCAATCATATAAATTGCGACAAGATAATTATTGTAATTAGATTTTGATTCGAGTTGAAAATTAATTCTGATTATTATGGTAATCAGTTGATGGTTACAAAAATATCCTCTTGATTGTTTATGTTTAGTAAATTGCGTGATTTGATTCCAATTGATGATATGATGATAAACACGATTAAGATTGAAACTTTTGATTGTTGTAAATATTATAATGATTAACAGTGAACTAGATTGTAATTTAAATGATGATTTTTTAATCAACCGAATTGACCTTTATCTAAATCTTGATTGTTGTCGTTTCGAACCATAATTAGTAGTTAGAACTTTTTAATCAACGTTTCTATTTATTTCCTATTCTCGTTCCGTCAATGATTAAGGTCCATTTTAGTTAATCCACGATGAGCCAATTAAATATAATTCACCGCAATTAGAGCCATCAAATGATAATCCGTTTTCCCGTTCATCCCGTTGATTAGATTCTCGCTGATTACGTTGATTGTATCAGAACTAAATTGTTGATTAGAAGAAGAAGAAGAAAAAAAAATGAAAGTAATTCGAGTAAATGAATAAGCGATTGAGGCCTGATCGTTAATTTCGATATCAATTCAAAAGAAAAATGGCCTCACACCCAATTCGAGTTTTCCATTTCTTTCGGTCGTTCTTTTCATCCACATATCGTTCAATTTCCTTTATATTGTTAATCAACCTCCGGAAGAAAAAGATAGAGAATGATTCTAATCATTAACAGTTATTCTTTTAATGATATCCAAGGTATCATTTGATTTTCGAACTTTTTTTCACCTTCGTTTTCGGCTTTTCGTTCAGTTGACTGGTCACGTTGATTCGTTTTCTAAATTGTTTACTAAATATGAGAAACATTTACGATTTTCTCTTCATTTGTCTTCATTAATTATCCTTCAGAAATGATCATTGATGATAGTGTTTCATATAATGAGTAAATTGTTGAAAATCATCATTAAGAAACTTTTTTCATGTTCAAAATTGATTGTCATCTAATTGAGATTTACATTGAGTGTGAGAAAAAGTATCAATATTAATTTGATAATTTCTTTCATTAAGATTGGTGAATGTGTCTGCCTTTAATGAGTTGATTGTCAATAATGGTAAATTGTTTGATTGTTTTACAGATTTCGGTTCAACCCAAAGCCCCAATCAATACAGTAGCGTTAATAGTGGAGCTTATCCAAGGAGTGCACCACCTCCCCGCCCATCACAGCCCAATTATCCGAATAGTCAATCACCTCCTTATGATCCTAATCCGGGTTATCGGCCACCAAATCCTGTTCGAAGTTCAACCGAACTTCGAACTGCATCAAATGTCCCTTACCCACAACCCGAAAATATAACCGATATTCTGGTTGCTCAAATTCACGGTTTGGGTGTTTTTGGTTATGCCTCATTCCATCCAATCAGATCGACCAACGGTGGACTTCATGTCAAGATTCACATCGCCGGTGGTTCTAATGGTGAAAGTTATGTCGCTCGAATCTATCAATATCCAGCCCAAAATGGTGCCACTTGTTCACAAGCCTCACTGGGATCTCTTTTATCCGATCTCTCCGTTCCAAATGGCCTTATTGAGATAAACAGAGAAAATTCCTTTAGTGTTCCTGCTTTGCAGGTCAAAGGACCGGCCAGTATTATTGGTCGAACCTTAATGTTACAAAGTACCAAAGACGGAGCCTCAATTTGTTCAGTTATCATGCCCGGTGATCGAAGTAAATTGATCCTTCAGGGTAAATTCCATTCGCCGATCGCTGGAATGGCCTATTACATTCAGAATGGTGAAGGCGCCGTTCTTGGTACCGAATGGATGATGTTTTCCGATGGTAAACGACGAGATGAATCGTTTGCATGGAAATTGATAAAAGCAGGACAAGATGACCTTTCGAACGATAAGAAAATAATCAACGAGAAAAACCGTTGCATCGATTTAAGAGGAGACATTATTTACTCTTCGAGTGAGGTCAGTTTTTAGATCAATCGATCAGTTGATTTCTTATGATTAAAATGATCTTTTTCTATTGTTTGTATAACTACAGGTTCTTTTACCAGTCAGCACTGAGTCTCCCATTTGGAGAGGTCGAATGCACACTGGCCTTGATCCCGTTGTTTCTCGTGACGATACAATTTATCTTGTTGTCTCTAAGGCCAATGGTTCACCCGTCGCTTGTACTTCACTCAATCAAATCTTACCAAAAGTTGGACTCGCTCAATTTGATTCTAATAATAACAATGGTGTCGATGGTACAATTAAGTTCACCCAAGATTCACCTTTTGAACCAACTCGAGTTTCGATTAACTTGAAACTTTTCACTGCCGCTTTCAGTTATGGTATTGACGTTTTACCAAGTCTTCGTCGGCGAAATAAGGAAATCAAAAGTTGTCCCAATGTAAAGGAAACTATTTACAATCCTTTCCATGTTGATCCCGATCGCGTTCCATCTCAAGGTCAAGGTACAACCGACATGTACGCTGTCGGTGATCTGTCTGGTAAATACGGAACCTTAGAATCAAAACCAACGGTCAACCTTCAAACCTACGATTCCAATCTACCTCTATTTGGATACTATTCAGTAATCGGTCGCGCCATTGTGATCTATGGACCTAACGGACCAGCAGTTACCTGTTCGAACATAGATCCTTATGGTAAACCATTGACAACCGCTTATGCCACTTTCGATTACCCAATTCAAGGTCAATTTATCTTTAGACAACCGGAGGGCGAGTGTTTTTCGGACACTTACCTTTACATTGAAGTCTCAAGACACCCAAGTGCCTCAACAACCAAAACAGTAAATCATAATTGGCATGTTCATGTTAATCCAGTTACATTGGAAGGTAATTAACCCTATTACTAGAATGTTGATCCAATTGATTTATTAATTTTGTCTCTCTCTCTCTAAATTGTTTCATCTCATTATCTAGATCAAGCTTTAAGTACAACAAAATGCGCTCAGGCTGCAGGTCACTTTAACCCATTCAATGTCTCCGTTTCTGATCATAATCCAATTTATGTTCGTGATTGTAACATATTCACACCGACACGTTGTGAGGTCGGTGATTTAGCCCATAAACTTGGACCTATTGACATTCCTCCCTACAAGGCAGGTCAAGACGGAAAAGAGCCCGAAGTGGCTAAATATTATTGGATCGACAGCGATCTACCTCTTTGTGGACAATCAAAAATTGTCCAAAGATCTTTGGTAATCCATGAACCCGATTTCCAAATGCCGAGACTCAGTTGTGCCAATTTATTAGTTTATCAACCGAAAACTACAAAATAATTAAATTCAATTTAATTACCACAAATGTAATAACAAATTTCACTATCAAATTGCCCAACAATAAAATCAGAGATGTAAAACTGATTAACAAAAACAAAAAACATCTCTAATTAATCTAAGCTTTACATTCAAATCTCATCTCAATCAAGTTCAACAATCAATCAATTTTTCATAGGAACAAAATATCAAAAAGTAAATTGTAATAAAGATGAACAACAATCAAATCCAATTGAATATAAAGGTCAATCTATTGAGATGGTTAATTGAATGAAAAAAGAAAACAAATCAAAACAAATTGATTTACTTCCCAATTAATTGAACGGTCACTTGCAAGAAAATACAATTAGCCAAGAGGAAGAAAAGTAATTGATGATAACTAATTTATCTGTCAATTCTAATTTACTTTTCGAAATATTATCCCAAATGTACAAAGAAATTATTCCAAATCAATATCGAAAATAAGAAAATCGAAAGAAAAAGTAAACTTATCGTTGGAGAATTTAAATATTTCATTCGTTTCATTTTCGAAAGCTACAAATTCGATGGGAGAGATTCTTTTATTCATAAGATTATCTTTGGATGCACAGACTAACAGAGAATTGAACCAATTGAACGAAGTTCATTTTCTCTCGAAAAGATCGATAAAAATTCCAATTCGTTTCTTCATCTGATAAACTGAGGCGACTTCGAATCAACAATCATGCGCTTCTATTCATTTCTCATCCTCATCACTTTTTTTCTTCTTCCTCATCATCATGTTTCTTTAGTTTCTCTCTCTCTTTCTTATCCTCATCTTCTCCTCTCTCTCTCTCTCTCTCTCTCTTTCTCCCTCTCTGGTTTCTCTTCATCCCTCAACCCAAAACAAAACAAGAAGTAACAAACGATAAAAATGTTACTTTAAACCAGAAAAAAAGTCTTAGTGTTTTTTTTCCTGAAAACAAATTCGGTTAATCAGTTTGTTGTCTTTCTTTCACCATGAGAGGTTTTATTATCTCTCTTATTGTTTTATTTCTTGGAACAACAATTAACTTGGTAATTAGTGAAACCAGTGGTAATTCTAAACAATTAAATTCAGATGATTATGATGATGATTCAGAAGATTTTGATGACTCTCCTGAAGACCAAGAGCTCCAACTTGAGGATAAAAGGCCTTCCTATCTAAGGGTAAATAGAATCTCTTTTTTTTTTAATTCTTTTTCTATTCTCCTCACTTTTGTTTTATTATACAATCGAATTACTTTTTTCAAGTAGAAAATGTTTCCAATTTTCTATAGATGAGATTATCTTAATCTAATTAGAAAAGATTAATTTCATTTTAAAATCTTCTCAGTGAATATCAAATCTAAATGAATTGTCTTAAATACGCTTATATGGAAATCCGTTTATTTACTTATTCTTTTGTGTTGATTTTTCTTTTATTTTTCTCTTGATTATTCTTAATTCTTGTTAATTGTTACCTTTTACCTGTGCTACATTTTGAAGAAATCAATCAATTTAAAGATTAGATGGAAATTAAAACAATCATCTTAGCGTCACATCAATCATATGGCTCATTATTGTTACTAAGTGAAGCTTTTTTCTTGTTGCTAACTGACCATTTTTTTTTTGCTTTTTCTTTGTTTTGGTTTGAATTTTTTTCTTCTTTTTCTAATTTGATTTCTATTCTATTCTAAATTGTGTGTTTTGTTTCTTTCTAGAAGAATCAAGGTAAAGACCGAGTAAAGGAAATCTACTTGTCCTGGGATCTTGATTTATGTAAAGATGTTCAATGTAAATCTAATCAGGTTTGCATGGTGAAAATTTCTCGTAAATCAGCAGTTTGTGTTGCAAGAAAATCAATTGACAAGAAAAAAGCTCAATCAAAGAGGGAATTCAAATGGTCCACTAACAATAATAGTAATAAAAAGTTGTCATACAAAGTATCATCTTCCTCCTCATCTGATGCCACTTCAATAAGCAAATCTGACAGTGAAGTTTTGCCCTGGGATTCATCAGATTATCTACCATCTCCATCATCATCTCCACCATCATCTTCATCTTTATCATCTTCTTCCAATAATAATAAATCATGGAAAGATTGTCGACCATGTCCAGTGATCAAGCCATCATTTTACTGTGGAACAGACAATTCAACATACTCTTCAATGTGTCGCCTTCAATTTCACAATTGTGTCCACCATACCGATATTGAGGTTGCCTGTAAAGGTTTCTGTCCCTGTGGAAGTCCAGTCAATAGCCATGTCCAAGCAAAAGAGATAAGAAATCATGAACGTTGGAATAAGTATATGGACACATTGGGTAAATTGAGGAGAAGTCACAAGATTGAGAAATTTGTCAAATCTCGAGCTAAAGTTAAACTAGAAAATGATGGAAATTTTGATGATTTGTATCATGAAGATGATGGAGATAAGAAATTGTCAAAGAAAAGATTAGCCGTTTGTAATAAGGAAGAGCTGAAAATAATGGGACACAGGTTATCCGATTGGTTTGTTGTGGTTCTACGAGATCAGAAACGTAGTTCACTCAATAAGAAAGACACTTTCATGGATTTCTTGACAATTCCCGATTGTCCGAATGATATTGCTAACATGTTCCATCGTCTTGACCTGGACGGAGATTTACGATTATCATTAAAGGAATTGTATGACTTGGAACATGACAAACGAGAAAAATGCCTTAAGCAATATTTGGATGGTTGTGATGAAGATCGAGATACCTTTTTAAATCCCTATGAATGGTGCTCATGTTTTGATCGCAAAAGTAAGCATTAAATTGCGAATTGAAAAAATTGAACTACAGTTAATTATTTACTTCTCTATCCAGGTAAACCATGTTTGATTGAAAAATCTCAACGGAAACGTTTGTACGGTGAATATGTACCCAAGTGCGACAAAGAGGGTTTCTATCAATCGATTCAATGTCATCTACATAAATGCTGGTGTGTTGATCGTTATGGTGTTGAAATTGCAGATACAAGACAAATAGGGATGCCTAATTGTGGTAAGTTTGTTTTACTTTTCTACTTCCAATTCAATTTAGATTAACTAATTGTTTGAATATCTCTTTTTACCCCAGATAGCAAAGATGTAACAATCAAAAGGAAGAACGAAAAAAGAAATTCCAATTCTCTGGGCACAAGCCGATTAAATGATCGTAAAGTGGATGAATTTGACGATTCCGATGATTCTGATGATACGGAAGATGATTCTCTCGATGGATCCGGATATGAACCATAAAAAGTTACACAATTAGATGACAATATACATCCAATAATCATTAACAATTATAATCTTCCACTCGTAATTTCAATTATTCATTCTCATTATGGTAACAATTTAAAAAGGATAAGTTGAAAAACGTTTCAAGCTCAATGTAATCAGAAAGGATAAACAAAGCACAAAGAAGGACAATGAACTTAACGCTTCCACACTCACAGATTATACAATCCATGAAGAAAACTACATTGCAATTCACTAAATCATTTCTAGTTATTTAAACTACAATTATCCATTCATCATAATCAGTTAATCATCAACAAACGACAACAACTTGAATCTCCATTGGAAACTCCAACCATTCATAAAACAAAAAAAAACGTATAAGAGGACAAACTAAAGATCAGATTAATCCTGATTAATTAATTCCTAGAAATATAATTTGATCAACTGTATCTCAAATTCAATTAGCTATATCATCCCTACTTAAATTGTTAATTGTTTTAATACTCTGACTGATGCAAATTTGCAATCAACTAATAACATGTTTACTTAAACAACAAAAATCCTTGTTCCTCCAACAAACAAAGCAAACCTATCGAGATTGTAATTACTATTACTATTATATCTTAATCATGATGATGATTTTAATTAATTGTAACAATTTACTTAATTCCATCTATTGTAATTTAATTTCTAGATTAATTTTTGGCTCTAACTCTTTGGTACGTTGACCATTAGCCATGCAAATCAATTGCCAAACAAAAAAAAACATTTATAACGCCAACTAATTGTAACTTTTACAGAAACAATTCCATCATAATTAATAAGTTATTAATTGTTATTAACTTTAGCGATTGATTGTGTTCACTTATATAAATAAATATAAATATGATCAATCTAATTGTAATTTGGTTACAACAACAATTCATTGAAAATACACAATCGATCAACAATAAAACAACAAATTGACACTTAGAAATTGTAACAATTTCGTTTAAATTGTAATAATTAATTTATTTGCTTCGCTAGTAATCAATTAGATGCGAAACAATTAAAGATTTGTAACTGTCTACGAGTGGAAAATCAAAGAGGAGGAAATACTGGAACAATTAAAATCCACCACAAGTTAATAACAATAGAGATTAATTTCCAGAAAAATTGATTAGTAACCTTTTCTGTCTTTCAATTAATCAAATAATAGAAACTAAATTAAAGACCAAGTCAAATCAATGCAATTGATGAAAGAATCATCAATTTACCACAATTTAAAAGAAAAAGAAACAACAATTAACTGTAGATGTTAAAATCTCTGTTTTCAGACAAGAGAAATTAATTCTCAACAATTAACCTTGATAACTTTTTTCATCTAAATTTCCTTCTATCACTAATTCTTGATTTACAATTTATACACTTTAATCAATTAATTGTTGTTAAATCCAGTGAAAAGATTGTAACAATTTCATAATCATGTTAATTCAGTTTCTCTTTTGTTTTTAGTAATTAACTCAATTGAAGAAAAAAAGAAAACATTGAAACAATTAAACTGGTCTATCAATTTAATCACTTGACACTAAATTTTTGACTCTATTAATACAATTAACTTAAAGGGGAATCTTTTAAAAGCAAAACAAAGTTAATTGTAAATGATTAATTGTTAGTGGAAGATAATTGATAATTCGATTGGTGATTAATTATCATCAACAATCAATGGTCAATGATAAAAACTTTGATTCTAAACAAAAGTTAAATATCAATTTACAAGCGGAAATTTGGATTCTTTTAGTAATTAAAAGCTGAGCAATTAACAGTTAATCGCTTTTCTATCATGAGAAACAATTAACAGAGGAAATATAATAACAATCGCGTTTAATTTTTCCAGGAAAAAGTTTCGCACGAGAACTCACCTTAATTAACCTTCGATCCGTTAATGGTTAACATTTTGAGAATCGTAATCAATCCCAAGTGATTAACGAAGTTGATTGAATTAGAGTTTTGTTTATAATTATTTCTTATTCGAGAATTTGTTTTCTCTCTCTCTTGTCTTTGAATTTTTCTCCAATGGAACATTGAAACAATCAATTGTTAATCAAGTCTCATTGGAAGATAATTTATGGTTTATTTTTTTCATCAATTTCATTTGCATTTTGATTCTATTTATAAATCACTCGTTATTGTTGTTTCTTTTTCCTTTTTCTTGTTGAAATGTTTGTAGAATCAGAGTTAAGTACAACTAGAAGAGTGTGTGTGTGTGTGTTTGTTTGTCAGGACTGAAAGAGATTATCACAAAATCCTGGTGTCTGTTTCTCTCCTCGATGTTTCCGTTATCGTTAGGCCACAATTGATTTAAATATGTTCAACATATCGATTAACACGCCTTGAAGCTGGTCGGTCATGTGTGTTCATAGAGAAGAAGTTCGAGAAAAAGAGAGAAAACTTTTTTCTCTTTGGAAAAAACAAAACAAGGAACAGAAATGGAAGAGAGAAGGAGAAAGAGAGAAGAGAGAGAGAGAGCAAGAGAGGGAGAGAGACACCAAGTAAAGGAAATCAGCTTGTCATGGGATCTCTTGATTTATGTCGATCCAATGGAAACCAGATCAGGTTTGATTATTAGTAGTAGATCAGCAATTTATGTTCCAAGTTGATAAACAATTAACACCAAGAGAGAAGCTCAGTCGTAGTTAAGAATCCAAATGGTCCAGAATAATGATGGTAAGTTGGTTCACAAAAAAGTTCTCTTTCTCTTATCCTCTCCACCACCGCCTCTTTCTTCCCAATGAGCGAATCTGACAATCAGGTGTTAACCCTGGAATCATATTTCTCTATCATTTCTTAAATTCGCTTCTCCACATAGTCACTTCTTCTTTCTTCTTCTTCCTTCTCCTTTCTTATTCATCTTTTTCCATCCATTTCCAACAGTTGACAAGAAAAAAAAGCTCAATCAAAAAAAAGAGTCTTAATGGTCCAGTAATAATGATAAAATAAAACTTTAAATAAGTTTAGTCGGAAAACAATGAAATCAGAAAGCCTTCCAATTAATTTTCACTTTTGTCTTTTTTTTCTCTTGTTTTTTTGTTTTTGTTTTTGTTTGTGTTAATGTATCAATGGATGTACCCCATGAATTGGTGGTTTATCTTTCTTAAATTCGTAAACTAAAGGGTATATATGTTCAACGGCATGTTGAACCGACAAAATATTAGGTGCGGTGATAGTTATTGCTCCTGTTTGAAATATTTTAAGGGTGGCCTTTACTTCCTTAAATTTGTAAGTAGCTCCTGGATGTAATTCTGGTTCATAACTGTGAGTGTGTATATGAGTGTGTAGGAAGAGAGAAATAGAGAGAGAAATATATAGAGGGAGAAATCGTAGAGGAAAGAGAAAAGGGAGCAAGATATGTGAGTTAACAATATGCAAATAAAAATGATAAAGATGCAAACAAGGAGTAAATATGCTAAAGATAATATTTGTTAGAGAGAAAGAGAGAGTGAGTGAGTGAGTGTGTAAAGAGCCACAGAGATAGAGACAGGAATGGGAAAAAACGAGTGGAGAATTGCCGCTAATTGGAACTGGTTGATTATTTGAGGAAGCAAATGAAATGTTTTACCTGCAAAGGGTTCTATTTTGTTCGGTGAATTGAGATATCTTGATTCCAAAAGGTAATAAGACAGTACCGAGTACATTGACAACGCGGTAAGCTGAGAATTTTACTTTGAATCCTAAATTTTGTAAAACACGGGCAACTCTTCTTGCTCCTTTTTTGGCTTCTTCATCAGAGGTAGCTCCTGTCACAGTTATCTTTCCTGATGACCATATACTGGCAGTTACTGCTGGGTCTCTTAGTTTCATCAAGACCATCTAAAGTGTCCAGAAGAGAGAGAGAGAGATGAGAAAAGAGAGAAATAAAAATGACCACGATTAGTAAGCACAAGAGAGTGAAAGGAAAGTAAAAGGGGTAGAAAGAGAGAAAGAGATAGAGAAAGAGAGAGAGAGAGAGAGAGAGAGAGAGAGAGAGAGAGAGATAGCAAAGAAGACATAGAAAAGAGAAAGAGAAAAAGCACAAATATTGTCAATAGGTGTAAAGGAATTAGAATAAGTTGATGTTTTTTTTTCTCTTAGGAATTTATATTTACTTACTCCTTGTTCTCTTTTATAGACAACATTTGCTCCGTTTGTGGCGATTTGCCTGAGATTAAGATGACAACGAGTTTTAAAATTACAAACAACATTGGTTATATGAATGTCTACTTCAGGTATTTCTTCCTCTTCTTGACTATTATTTTTTTGAGCTTCTCCATCTTGTCCCATTGTACACTAGTAACAATAATGTATGTGAATCCGTGAGAGAAGAAGAAGAAGAAGAGGAGGAAAAAAAAGAAGGCAAGAGAAATAGACACACACAGAGGAAGAGAAAAAAGAGAATATAAGAAAAAAAAGAAGAAAAAAAAGAAGAGATGGTGATGGTGATGATGATGATGATGAAAAGGAGAGAGGTGAAAGACTGAGAAAAAAAAAGGAGAGACACTACTACTAAGAGAATGAAAAAAAAAGAATGAGTAAAGAGAAAAATGGTCCTCTACACACACACTCTCTCGGTTCAGTTTCTAGTTATCCGAATAACTATTCCCTCAGTTATGAGGTAACTAGAGACCGAGAAACTGTTTAATATGGTTACTGGCTTAACAATTAAACACAATTGTAAACAATCGAGGGATAATCTAGTTTTTAATCCGATGACAATTAAATCTCAATTAAAGGGACTTTTACCAAGAGTTTAATCCAAACATTTCTCAATAGAAACTTGGTAACCAATGGCAACCAAACATTCTAGAGAAAGAGAGGGAAATTTGAACTGCGATTTATTCTAATTTCAAATTGATTATCTTTTCATTTTGAGAAATTTGTTTTAATTGTTGTCATTTAATGGCAAATTAGTGTTTTACAAAATTTGATCAACTTAGAAGTTGATTTGATTGTTTAGTTTTTTTTTTCGTTTTGTTTTTTTTAATTGTTTTGTCGCAATTGTTTTTAACTTAAAGGAAAATTGGTAAAAAAAAGTTAATCATAATTGAAGTGATTATGATGATAGGCACAATTGAATTTGTAAGAAATTGATTTAGTTGTACGATTAATGGGTAAGATATGAAATTCATGATCAATCCAGTTAATTGTTACAACTGTTATCAAAGTGTTGATGTTGATGTTGTGATTTGTATTGTGATTTTTTTTGTATGAAAAAAAAGTGAAGAAAATTGAATAAAAATAATTAGCAGGCAAAAAAAAGATTCTGATGATTGTGATTATCTTTCAAAACCATAACAAGCTTGAAAATCATTCCAATAAGGTGAGTCGAGGAAATTTTGATCTTGACATGAATTTGGTCCTAATTTATGGATAAGAGCATAATCAACACAATCAATGATCCCATCGTTGTTACAATCACGTCCCAGTGTTTTAATGTAACCCTTAATTGTATCTTGAGCACAATTCATATTAGTTACACAGTTGATAAAATCACTCGATCCACCATTGTAACCTGGTTTACCAGATTGTAGCCAATAAGAGATACTGATTTGATATGGACCACAGAATTGATTCCCTGCGATATTTTTACATGGGTAATTAGCATCGCATTTACTTGTCGCCTATTGTTGAGCCGAATAGAAAAGTAAAAGTTAGAAAACAATTAAACTCTCACAATTAATCAATGATGTAAAGTGTCAACTTACTTCACAAATACATTCCAAACATTCAGTTGTCATTGATCCGTTTACTTTGGGAGTTGATGGTAAGAGTCGAGAGTCTCGAATACCTGGAACAGGTAAGATTGAACTATCATCCCCATCGGAGTAAGAAATTGTCGTTGGTGGTGAATTAGTGACTGGTGTGAATTCTGAGGGTGGTGGATTAGTTGAAGATGGAGGTTGTGGTTGTGGTTGTGGTTGTGGTCGTGGAGAAGGTTGTGTGACTGAATTTCGAGGAGGTGAATCGCTGTTACCAGAAAACGGTCTAAAACCAGGTTGAGATGGGAAGTTAAAACCATTGGGTCGATCGTAACGAGGAGTGAATCGATCAGCGTTGGGTGAACGTGATGGTGCTGAATCAAAGTTACCATTAGTTGGTGGACCATTAGGTTGATTTGGATAATTGTTTGGTGGAGCAATCAAATTATTACCATTGTTATTATTCAATATTGGTCGGAATCCATCATTTCTTAAAGTTCCAGGTTGGAAACCATTATTATTATTATTACTAGGATTAGGTTCACTTGGTACAAGTGGCCTGGATTCGCGAGGTTGGTTATCATTATTATTGCCCCGATTAATAATTGGTCTAAATTCATTGTTAATTGTTGACTCAGGGGGAAATCTATTAGGTGCTGATGGGCCAACATGTGAATGTGGAGGAATAGGAGTCGGTTGATCTGGTTGGAAATTATTCCTTGGTGGTGGTGGAGTGACATTATTATTATTGTTATTGGCTCGCGGTTGACCTGGGACTCCAAAGTTAGGTCCCGACGGACCAAATGGTTGATTCGGGAAATGTACATCATTAAAGTAAACATTTGAATTATTTGGACGGTTAAAGTTTGGAGGAGGAGAATCAATGGAAGGATTAAATGGGAATGGATTAAAAGGTGAGTGATCATCAGCATCGTGGAAACTATTTATTCGTTCAGGTTGATTTGATTCGCGATCAACTGGCCGATTACCGGGAATTTCGTTCTCATTAAATCGATTATTGGCTCCATTCCAGGTAATTGGTTCATCTCTACGAAGGTTAGCAGGTTGACCAGGTCTTTCGATTGGCCTGAAGCGCTCTACATTTTCCCGAACACGATTGCCTAATATCGATTAAAAGTAACAAATAAGTTTCGTTTTAAAAACAATTTTCGACCAAAACGATCGATTTGTTATTAATTTTTAAAAAAGAAAAATATTAGTAAACAAAAAAAGAATGTGTTAGTTAAAAAACATTAACAAAATATTGTATCGAAAAATGAAAGATCTTCCATCGAGGAAAATGGTTGAGAAAGTCAACAATTAACGGAACCCACTTCGAGCATCAATTGGTGGTTGGTGACATGTTTTATAATCGGACCAAAATTTTCCTGTTCCAAATACTCCTGGTCCACAATTGGGTCCATATTGGTGAATCATGACGTAATCATCGCAGTTAATTATTCCATCATTGTTACAATCACGGCCAAACCTTGACATATAACCTTGAACAGCAGCTTCGGCACAATTTTTACGAAGAGCGCACGAAACATAATCAGTTCCTGGTCGACCTGCATCCGACCAGAAAGGCCATGAAATTAGGTAGGGACCACAAACATTACCGAAACATTGTTTGTTTACATCACAACCGGTACTCGCCTGGCAAAGACAATCTAAACAATTTGAATCAACGGGTTGATTAGCGTTACTTGGGGAAATCTCATAGTTTGACTCTTCATTGTAAGACGAAGATGAGACAACGGGAGGAGATGAAGGTTGATCCAGTGAAGAAGGTGCTGAGTATGATCCAGTTTCAGGTACATTGTTTAAAGGTGGTGAAGGTTGACTGGAAGGATAAGTACGAAGGACTCCAGCATCTCCTCCCCCCGAACCAGTACCAATATTGGTAACATCAACAATCGACGAAGTTGGTGGTTGACCAACTGCTGGGCCAAAAACTTCATGTCGAGATGGATTATTGTTATTGTTATTTGAAGGGACATTGTAACTGTTATATCTCACTCTTTCCGGTTGACCACCAAATGACCGGAAATCTGACGGATTAGAACCGAGCGATGGTCGATAGGTTTGATTTCGTGAACTGGGAAAAGTCCAGTGAGTATTATGAGGCTGCGGTTGAGGTTGTGGTTGGTATTGTGGTTGTACAGGTTGACTGTTCGTTGGTCCACCAGAGGATGAGAATCGGGGTGGTGATAAATTACCACCATTGTCATAATCACCATTGTAACCATTTCCAGCTAATGTGAGAAGAATTGATTTAATTAGATAATTTAATCATTAGGTAAATATTGTGTCATTTGTATGTAAATTGGAAAAGGTTAGATCACAAAAAATCATTGGAAAACAACAGGAAAAAAAAGTTAATGACATTTGAAGTTTAACTAAATTAGTTGGATAACTGATTAAACAATCAGTCAATTGTTTAACGTAACAATTAACTTATTTGAAATAAATTATCAAATTGGCAAAATTCAATAGTAATTGCGATTCTTACAGAAAATGTTATTAAATTGAAAGTTAGAAAAAAACAATTAACAAATAGTGAATCTTTTTGCATAGAAAATCCTTGAAAACTTAATTAATTAATTGCAAGAGAAATTTTTATAGAGAAATAAATTAATTAATGAATTAAGACAATTGAAGGTTAACAAGCAAAGGTTGTTGATCGTCACTGTTGATAAACAAATAAAAAAAACTAATTGGTTAGTAACAAGGTTTCGGATAATCTAATTGAAATGGTTAACAATTAATTAATTAAGTACATGGAGAAAATTGAATCAACCTCCAGGGGCTTAATTGATATGGTGAAAAATGAGTAAAATTAATTGTATTAATTTGAATTGTGATGACATTGAATTTAAAGATTTAAATATGAATTTGGAAAATTACCTTTGGTCTGTAATCAATGTCACAATTAAGTCTTAATCAACCTTGATTTATTTGATTACCTGTAAGAAAACAACAGGAAGATTCTTGATTGTAGGTTGGATTGTAAACAGAAAATTTAATTCTAAATGATTGAAGTTTAATTGTGTGAGGTAAGTGGTATCTCCACACAATTAAGTGCAATCCGTCAATCAGCGTAAGTATAATCAAGGTAATCATATTATTATTATTAACAAAATAGTTTATAATTTAATAACAATTAAGACCTTGAAAATGTATCGTTTGGATCATCAATAATTCACAATTGATAACAATTAAAATTGTATTATAATAACTAGATACATATAACCCTAAGGTGAATTTTAATTGTTGTTGATTGATTGGTAAACAATTTAAAGCTATTTTTAATTTATTACATGTTACAATGTAATAGTCTCAATTGATTTAATTACTTTTCATTTTCATTGGCTTTAAATACTTGATGTTTATTACATCATTGAAAAGAAAAGGATTTAAATTGTTTTAGTCATGTAAATTAGTTAATTTGGATTGTCAATTGATTATATTATTCAAAGGGATTAAAGAGAGATGATCAAATCATGATTAAGTTAATGGAAACAATTTAATCTACTTTGTTTTATGTTGTCTCGTCGTAAAAGTTGTTAATTGTTTGTTATGTTCAGGAAGGACAATTAATTGTCCTTCAACAATTTAGATTTGATTACAATTGACAAATTAGATAATTATAACTAATTTAAATTCACATGAATCTCATTGACCATGATTTAAATGATGACGACTATTGAAACCATTGAAAACAATTAATGATTTCTTATATAATCAACCTTGAGAGCTAAAACAATTAACTAACAATTAGTAACAATGAAAGTATTAAATGAATTGAATTTAAAAACAAATAGATGAAAAATAAAAGTTTCAATTGTTACGATTAATAATCAAAGTTATTAGTTAATTGTTTTCTTTTCTCATTTACAATCGGAAGTGTTGATTTGAACTGCCCTTAGGGTGAATTGATTGTGGATTATGTTTAACAACAATTTGATGTAATGAATGATGATCAACATTTGATTTAGTTGATTAACTTATGATGGGAATTAGAATCAAGAAGCTTAATCAAGATGATAAATTTGTGAAACAATTTTTATAAATTAAACTGGTTTAAATTGGTAAACCCTTACGAAAATTAGTTAATTGTGAACGTGATTTGAAAAATATTAAAACTTTAAATTGTAAACTTATCAAAAGATAAATCAACAACAATTAATATTAGATGTTTACATTAATTGTTACACATGAGATAAAACAATTTAAATTAAAACAAGAAATGAATCAAAAAACAATCAAGAAAAAAAATCTATCACAAATTAAATTTTCTTAATCGATATCAGATAATTTCTAATAATTATCGACGCAAAAAAAGTGACCTAGAAATCAAAGTTAATCCATTGAGATAAATGATTAGTATTAACATGAGAGGAAATAATTGTTATTATCAAAAGTTTTGATGAGACAAATTGATGATGAAAACAGAATCAAGGTGAAAAGTAACCAATCATTAATTGTTGTTTGTTTCAACTACTTAATTACCTTCAATTGGTCATTTGATCAATAACATTAAATTTATATCAACATGATATCATTTGATTGGCCTTTGATCAAGTGAAAAAGTGAAAAATGATTTAAATGAAAGGTCATTTCCTTAATATCTGTAAGAATGAATATTCTTGATTGATTACTCAGATTCTGGGTGAGAGAGAAGCAGAAAAAATCACAAAATTTCAAAGAATCATAGCAACAAGTTTTATATCAACAAGATAAATTTGTAATCATTTGATCAGGTAAACACTAATCAAGGACTTAGATCAATGGAGACCTTGAAAAAAGCTAAATGTCCAAAAGTAAACAACCATAGGACCAACGGTCAATGATAAATTTTGGACAAAACATCATCAATAACTTAGCTTAATCCAAACAAGGTCTTGACCTAAACAATTTCATTGGACCGGACGAAGTAGATTAATGATAAAGTTAAATATTGGAAACTCAAAATTTTCCGAAGGTTTTTCGTTTCCTATTTTGTATCATTGAATAGAATTGAGTATGTATTTAACTTGATATGTTGGTAGACTTTGAACTAAAATTTGATCTGTTGAATGAACATGAATACAGGGAGGAAAATATTGGAGATGTTAAAGTGTAAACTCACTTCCTGAGGCACATGAAGATGATTGGAAAACTCTCCAATAATCAGAATCCAACAGCCATTGAGCATTACAAGAGTTTGGCCCTGCTTTGTGGATCGCAGCAAAATCAGCGCAATCAATGAAACCATCGCCATTACAATCTCTAGCCCATTTAGCCATATAGCCTTGGACAGCTTGTTCAGCACATCGTTTATCATTGAGACAAGTTTCAAAATCATGAGGACCACCTTGATCACCAGGTCGCCCACCATCAGACCAATAGCTCCAAGAGATTTGATAAGGTCCACAGAAATAGGAAGAAGGTCCAGAATTGTGACATTTCTTTGACAAATCACATCCAGTACTAGCCTAGGAATAGGAAATACATGGAAAACAGAAAACAAAAGAAAACAAAATTGAATAAAAATTCAATTTAATCAACAGCAACAAACGTAGTAAATGTAACATCAAGTCAATAACACCAATAAACGTGATGAAAACAGAGACAGAAAGTAAGCAGAAAAAGAAACACAATGAAAAAGCAAACAAACAAACAAAAAACGAGAAAACAATCAAACGATTAACATTTATATTGACATTAAATCAACTTAACACCAGCAATGGTAGAGTAACAATTAGTGAACAATAATGAAAATAACACATTGGAATCGATGAAAAAGGTTATATAGAAACAGAAAAAAAATATAACTTTCACCAGAAGAAGAGCAAATTTTACATGATTAATTTGATTAAATTAAGAAAAAAGCGAATCAGTTAAGTGTCAATGTAATTAAGGTGATACACTTTCCACTAATTAGCAAATAAAATGGCCTGAAACTAAGAAATAAAAAAGAATTTGAATTTTAAAAGAGAAAAGATTAGCTAACCAATTAGTAGAAATGGCGACAAGAAGAGGAAGAAGAGAAGAGAACAAATAATTTAGAATAGAATAAAAAATTGGAGGGAAGAGAAGAGAAAGTGAGTCATATTTTGAGGAGAACAACAAATTGTTCGATTAATTTGTTAATCTTATTGGTAATGTGAAGTAATAGAAATGGTTTAAGGGTGGAAATCAACAAAATGGTTTATTAATTGAAGATCTTTACTCTTGATAACAATTAAGAAAATTCTCATCTCAATTGGATTAATATTGATCGTCCATTTTTGTTGATGTTAATTGTCTGTTTTTCTTTACTCACCTGACAAATACAGTTGAGACATTGTTGATTTAATTGTGATTCAACTGGATAAATCACCGTCAAACTGATGAGCACCAGGATAACTGTGGTTCAATCAAACAAAATGGAGAACAGGATTAAGATTAAGGTAAGTGATTTGTTAATTTAGTGATTGACTTACCAGAAAGAACCTGAGAAAGGCTCATTTTTATTACCAGGTAAAGATTATCCAAAGGGATTAGAAAAACAAGAGATGAATTTTCAACGAAACGATAAATTAACAGTGGATGTTGATAATTTAAGATGATGAGGATAAGTGAAAGATAACACAAGGTATTTGTATGATTCTGGACAAGATTGAGAGAGAGAGAGAGAGAGGGAGATTATTAAGGGAGGGATTTGATTTGGTGTTTGGATCAATTAAGAAATTTGTTCGAAAGATAAATTGTTTGAGAGAGAAAAAGAAAAAGTGAAAGTTAAATGATTCGAAATGATGAACAGGTATGAAAGGGAGAAAGAGAGTAAGAGTGAGAGAGATGTTCTGATGATGGAAACCCTGAAAAACTGGTTACCTGGAAAATCAAATCATCGGATATAATTGTTGTTTTTACTTTTTTTTATATATTATAAAGGAGAAACAATTTATTCATTTTAACAAATCAGCGATATACAATTTTTTGCTTTGTTTTTTTTTAACGGTGATCATATTAATCAACGTTGATTAGCAACTGTGTGTGTGTGTGTTTGTGGTTTTTATAACAATTATATAGAAGGAGTGGAGAGATTAGAATAGAATTTTTTTTTTGGGAAATTATTTTACTCCAAACTATCCCATGGAGCTATATTCTTGGACCCTCTTTCAGCGGTATCAACGTGTCTTTCGTAATAGATTGGATCACTATAACCAGTTCGTTGTTTAATAATTTTGCTGGAGAAAATTAATCAGGAAAGAAAAGGTAAATGGAAATAAGATTAATTGATTGAACGAGTGAGTGAGTGAGTGAGTGAGTAAGAGAAAGAGAGAAATGAAGATTGACAGGAGTGAGAGAAAAGACTAACGAAATGTGGTATTTACCCTATTTTTTTATTCGCTGCTTTATCATCGTAATTGGCAGTCCATACTGATATTTTGGTCATTACTCGTCTGACATTTACAACCGCTCCACAGACTTGGTCACTTTCATCGTCAAATGCTTCACCGATGAGACAAAGTAACTGTAAACAGGTAAAGTATTTATTATTTATGAAAAAAGGTAAATGTATTAGTTAATAATGACATTTCAGTGAATAGTGATACTTGATGATTGAGTTGAAAGCATGATAAATATTTGAAAACTTACCACTTCAAGCCAAGCATTATCCAATTTGGTTGCTCCCCTTGCCCCTTTTTCAAACGTCATCAGCCAACGTCCTCCATTACGATTAGCTTTATCTTCCCACATAGGTTTAATATCATCTTTGAACACACTATAATCAGATCCTTGAATCAAATTACTTGGAAGCTCAATGTGATTGTAAAGCCTGAGAAAAAGAGAGAGAGAGAGAAAGAAAGAAAAAAGGTGAAATAATGGAAAAATAAGTGAATAAAAAATCACATGAATTAGAAAAGAGAGTAAGAGAAAAACACACAGCTGAGACAAAAGAGTAAAGATCTCCTAAAGAGAAAAAGAGAAGGGGAAAGAGAGTCTCAAGAGAACAGAGAAAATTATTTAATTCTAAACACAATTAACTTACGCCCAAAAATCTTCGACAGTTCCAACAGAGGTTACCGGCACCAAATTGGATTCCCAATCACCACCTTTATTAGGCTTCAAATACCATAAAGTCCATTTTAAATTAAGAGGATTCTTTTTCTCAACTTCTTCAACCTCACCCATTTTGATGATAACCAATGAAAAATGAAAATCAAGATAAGCAATTTAATCCAAGAGAAACACAATCAACAAAGGTAATTTCTTAATTAATAGATTAACTAATAACAAGAAAAAAAAGCTTCTTCATTCAATTAACTTCCGATTTCTTGTGGAATTGTAGCGCCACCTGGTGGATAGAAAAGGCGCTTTTTTCAACCAGAAAGAAAAAAGAAAAAAAATTTTCTTTTTTCTTCCAATGTTACAATTAACTCTTTTTCCTTTTTTACAAATCCAAAATAATCGAATTAAATTACTCAACCTACATGGAAAAACTTGGTCACATTCCTTGCAACATGGAGAAGAAAGTCAATCTTTGCACAATCGATTCGAAAATAATTTCAAATTGTCAATCCTCGTGTTCGCAATTAATTATCATTAATTGAATAGTAAATTCGTCAAGATTAAAATAGAAAATAGAAGTTGGATGAAAAAGGAAAAATTCTAATGGTAAAGAGTTCGAACTCAAAGAGAGAGAGAGAGAAAAGTTCTAAATAGAGTAAAGTTCGAACTGTAATTAATACGTTAATCTTTAATTTAGATGAAAACCAGTGAATGGAAATTAATAATATATGATAACGAGAAAAATATAGTAAATTAAATCTTCAATTAACTGGAACACAATTAATTAATCAGCGAACAAAAAGATAATCAGTTGAAAGGAGAGAGAGGGAAAGGAAAATTCTAAAATTAGATGAGATAAATTCTCTCATCAGTAATTAATCGAATCAAAAGTTCCATAACATGATAACTAATATTTATACCAAAAAAAAAAGAGAGAATTCAAACTAAATGAAAATAAAAAATTCGAAAATATTACAAATCTAAAATGAAAACGAAAACGAAAACGAAAAGATTGAAGATAAAAAATTCGAACTGAAATAATTTCCAGTTAAATGAATTCTCTTGGAAAACTAAATGTTAACGTCTATAGATTGACGAGAATTACAAATTATATCAATTATCCTCTATCTCCATCCTCATCCTCATCTGATAATCTTTTACCTGTGACATTCCCTTAAGAAAATAACTGTCTGGAAGTTTCTTCTCATCCTCATCCCTTCAATATCTTTGAACAGGTAAATCTAATCATCTTCATTATCCATCATCGTATTAACTTTAATCCTCTGATTAGATTTACCTTTTTCAATGTAATTAACTCACATAATTACAATTAGCGGACAAAAATTATCAATGACCAAATGGTTGGATTGTAAATTAATTCATCATGTATTAATCAGCTAAATTACTGTTCCAATTAAAGTTGACTAATTAATATTTATTTCTATACTTAATTGTCTCTTTTATATTAATAACAAATTACCAATTAAATTGTGACATTTTATTAAATTACTAAAACTTAATTGGCTTTCCTTTGATTATGATTATTTGATTTTTTTTGTTGTTCCTCTCAGTCTATTGATCGTTAATTTAATCAATCAAACATTTACCTCTTTGATAACATGTCACAATTAACTATCATAACTAAATCAATGTCAATGAAACATTAATTATTGCTCGTTGATTTTGATTTAATAATAAATTGTTTCAATATATTTACCAATGTTTCATTGAATTGTCTGATTATACTGAATTAGAAATTAAGTTTTCATTAATTATTTATAAATCAGATTCAACATTTAACCTTTAACAATATTTGGTGATGATTGAAACAATTAAAATTGATCACAAACAATTAACTGTGTAAGGTCACTTTTATTAAGGCTTTTGATTGTTACGTTAATTTTGTTTTACAATTTGATCAATAGTTTGGTTTTTTACATTTTCATTCAAATTAAATTTCAATTAGCAGTCAAGATGATTAACAATTTACTCTGTTTGATATATATACAGTTTAAGTATCAATTAACCAGTTAATTGTAACAATTATCATTGATTTGGGACTTACACAGTTTTGTTGATAAAGTTTAATTTAATTGTTGAAATTGAGAGAGAGAGAAAAATATTATTAATAGTAACAGTAAAATATTAATCAAATTTACAAGTTAGACTCTAATCTATCAGATGAATTAGTGATTAACAATCAAACTTTTCAATGGAAACAATTTGATTTAGTTAATCGTTTGAAAAGATAATATTTTTTAACTTGTTTCCTTGTATTCGTATTGGACCAGAAATAAAGGTAAGCATTACAAATTGGTGACAATATCGCAATTGTCTGACTAATTGCTTGAGTAAAATAAATTGTCGTCGGTGAGAGTTGATTGAGAACCGTTGATTGGTCAGCAAGATCAGAATAGATATTAGTTAGATTGATTGGTAACCAAATCGAACCGAAAATAATGGTGTTTTTGAAAAGAGTTCGGGTCACTTTCGAGTTTCGTCTTAATTTGTCCTTAATGTCGCGTTTGTTCAAAATGTTTGACACTAATTTAGAGTAAAACAAGTTACCCTTTTGCTTTGAGTCCATATCGTTGAAACACATTAGACGAACTCGAGTTTGAATGTGCCGACGGAGAAAAGTGTCAACTTTATGGTGGCAAATGGTCATCGTAACCAATGGACAAACCCATTGGATAAGTAACAGTGCTAAAGTGTAATAAGTGCGACCATGTCGAGGCCAAATTTCACCGCAAATTGTTATCGTGTGAACACTGGTCAGTTCAATGTGACTTATGGTTTGGTAAATAAATATTGGTGATGATAAGAGGATTGAAATTATCCAGATTAAAGTGACCAAAACGATATCTGACCTTAGCCATTGGCTTAAAGATGAACACGAAGCCGATGATGGCCAAAGTGGTGTTATCGATAATGATGAAGATGAATATGAAGATGATGAGGATGATGAAAAGGCTGGTAAGGTAATTGTTGAATTTGTTTTACTTTTACTTGCTGATTGTTGACTTTTATTTGATGAGATTATGTTAATCCGATTGGTACAGATTCCAGTTATTATGCAAGCCCGTTGGACACTGATCGTTGTCACGATTCCGCTTGATACAAAAACTAAAATACCTTGAAAAGTTGGTACTATTTTACACAGAAGCTCATTGAAAGGCCAACTTTTCCGTAGGATATTGTGTAAGGTGAAAGGGCAAAAGGCTAAACAATAGATCGCATCGGAAAGAGCGAGATTGATGAACAATAAACTTCGAGGTTCCCGTTGATTGAAATTAGTTAAACAAAAAAGGATAATTATGATTCCATTGGAAACGAAACCAAGAGTTAATAAAGTTAAATAGATTATCAGTAAGGTTAATTCCGTTTTGGGTTCGAAGATACGATCGAACAGCGAAATGGCCTCGTCAAGGTCGACACCTTCGAGAGAAGATGCAAATTGTTTCAAAGTCTCATTTAATCCAGTTAATTGTTCACTCATTTTGTTTTATTTTTTCTTCTTTTCAAAGATTCATTTACATCATTTAATCAGTCACAATTTAAGAAAAATTATATTTCCAACTTATCGTTTATATCAACTGGGAGTTAATTCTGGTTGGAGTTGATAGATTCTCATTTATATACTCTGTTAATGAGACGTCGCAATCAAGGTTACCATCATAATCATGATGATAAGGATGATGATCATGATCATCATCATGGATGATAATGATCACCATCATCCGATTAGATTTCAAATCAATGATTCCGTTGAATATATCTGAGTATTTACTCATTGTCTCAATTTGAATACAAGGGTTATATTGACATTCACATTTAGCTGATTAATTTACTTGATTAATCTAGTTAATTAAATATCAACATCTTTAATCATCTATTTCATCATCGATGGCAATTAGTTATGATTAGTTGGAATTTCGGTTTTTTTTTATATTCTAAATCATTTCGAATCCCCTAATCTCCATATCTACTTAAGGTAGTTGAGTTAATTAACGAGTTAATTGCAATTACGATTGAATTGGGATTATTTAGGTTTCATCTTTTCATTTAGAATTAAATTGTTGATTAATATAACTTTTAATCATCGAAGAACAATTTAAAATTTAAAATTAGTTTACTGATTAACCAATAGAGGGAAGCAGAGTAAAGTTAAATTGTTAACAATTAAATTTAAATTTAATCACTTGAAAAACAAAAGTAAACACAAACACAATTAAACAAATAGTAATCCTTTTCAATTAACAATCAATCCAGTTTAATTAGTTGATCAAGTTGAGTTAATTGTTTCAAAATAAAATACATTTTATTTCAATTGAAAAGTTGATTAACTTTACAAAAGATGAAGTTAATTGTGATCAGAGTTAATCACTAATTGTGCTCATGTACAAATAATACATAAATTGATTTCCAAGTACATTGGTTGATTAAAAAATCACAAGAAAAAAAAATACCAAAGTAATTAAATATTACTAACCAATACCCAACAATTAAGGTTAATTATCAGCAATTGAAATCAGTCATTGAGTTAGATTATGATTAGTGATATTTAATTGCTGTTAACCTTTAATATTTGTAAATTGTTGGATAAGTGATTAAATTATCGTTGAGAATAATAAAAGAACCTTTTGTTTTCTATTAGTTGATAACAATTAAACTTAATAATTAACTAATCATGTGAAAATCCTATAACCTAATCAATGGTAATCTTATCAATAAATACACTCACTCCTATTAGTTAATTAAGAGGAGGTTGGGGGTTGATTTATATTAGATTAGTATCTCAACAATTAGAAAGAAATGATTCTAATTGTGATATAATGGGAACGGAATTAAATTAATCTAGTAAATTGTTAATTTGGTGAAAAGATAATTTCAAATTGTCATGATTAAATTTCAATCTAATGAGACAATCAATTGTTAAATCTTTTGAGTAAATACAATTTATTGACCATGAATAAGAATCAACAACAGAAGTTAATTATCAACAATCAATCAGTAAATTGTTTATGTGAAGATGATTAGTGTTGATTATTGTCCATGGAAAGGTCACAATTAACCAAATGATTAGTAAATTATTTACTTTTTATTGGTGAATGAAAAAAAAATTCAAGTGCTTTTCTCAATATGATTAAAATCTAAGTGATTTTTAAACCATTGGGACAATTAGTTAATCATTTTGATGATCAACTGTTTTAATTAATGATAATTATTTGAATAATTTGTCTAATTTTACTGATTTTACATTGATTTGAATTTGCATTAACTTTTTTTTCCTGGCTTGATTAAGGATTAGTTAATTATGAAGATAAATTAATCACTGATACTTGAGACAATTAATTGTTAGGAAGAAAAAAATTACAATTAATTAATGTAATCATTTCTCTCTCTCTCTCAAGTTGTGATCAGGTTGTTTCTGTTGTTCAGCTTTTGTCTTTTCAACAAGATCATAACAATTAACCAGCAATCATTATGATTATAATATTAATAGTAACAATTAATAGTTTACAATCAAATTAGATTAGAGTTGTTGATTGTTGTTATTATTTTTTTTCCCTGTGGATGATGAGAGATGATGAAATGAATGGTGAAAGGAAAGAATCATCATCTAATTGGAAAACAATAGAAAGACAAGAATAAGATGAAAAAAGTAAGAGGATGATCAGTGAGAGAAAGGAAGATGATAGAGTTAGAGAGAGAGAGAGAGAGAGAGAGAGAGAGATGATAATGAGGATGAAGATAAAGATGAAGAGGTAACAAGAGGTGTCTCATTGAAAATGAACAAAAAGATGCACTCGAAAAGTAATAATCGTATCTATCATCATCATTATCATCTAAGAATGAAGATGAAGATGATGATGATGATGATGATGATCACAATTTATTTCTAATTACCAATTAACCTCTGACTTAATGACGAGAAGTTTAATTAAAACATTGTTCAAGTGGTGATTAAATCTGAAACAGTTTTGAATTACCTGTTTACACATACAGATTATATTGATGAGGATGAGGATGAGGATGAAGATGAAGATGCTGAAGATGATGAGGATGATGAGAGAGTCAAAACATTTGTATTATTATCATGATAATCATTAACTAACTACACTTGAGACATTTAGTCAAGATTTTGTTGTTGTTTTAACATTAACACACAATATTGAGTATCTATTGGAAGATATTGATAATCAATTTAATTATCGAAGATTATTAAATGATGATTAACTCTCTCTCTCTCTCTCTCTCTCTCTCTCTCTCTCTCTCTCTCTCTGGTTTCATCACCATCATTACAATTAATGGTAGTTGATTATACTCACTAATTGTTATAATTAACAGTATACATTAATTACTGATTGTTTATGTTACTTTTTTTGTCTTTAATCAATATGACAAAATGTTAATAAACTATTAATTACTGTTTAATTGTTGATTGAGTGGTAATTGTTGCTAATTAATTTAACACTTAGCAAAAAATATGTAAATCAATTTTATCTCACCTTAAATTGTTTGCAATTAACTAAATTAATCGACTTGAAATTCATATTCATATTACCAATTTCACTTTTTCGATTTTTTTTTCATTAAGATCACAATTAACTTCCCAATTATTATTTGATTGTTGCTGTTTATTATTGTAACAAAAGGATTTAATCAATTGTGTATATACATAAAATATTAATCAATTAATCAACAAATAATGTTGTTAATTGTTCATGAAGAAATGACCTGATTCAACAGATTTAACTCTTTATTTGATTAATCATCAACAATCAAGTATCAACAATTAATTAGCTTTTAATCAGTTTCTGATGTTGTTTTAATTATTTTTTTTGTCTCTTTCTCTATCTCATCAGTAACAATATAAAAATGATAAAATCATCATGATTAGTTAATCAGCTTATCATTTTTACCTTGAAAATAATGGTAAAAGTTGTAATTACAATCAATTAATTGTTAAGAATCAACGAGAAAACAAAACGAAAAATGTAAAATCAATTGAAAGTTTTTGTGTAAATGAATTAATATCCAAATCAAATAAGTAAATTAATCAATTGGTAACATTTGATATAAAGGTAAAACTTAACAATTAAGAGGACAGGGAGATTAACAGTAAATCTAATTGTGATTAAATGATAACAATTTAATTGTATTATTAACAAGGTGATAATCAGAAGACGTTTTTTTTTTAAGATGATCAAAACAATGAAGATGATAACAAGATGATAAGAAAGGTAAGAGATAATGAGAGTAACCATAATTGAATTTAATAATCAATAACAATTTAACTAATTGTTGTTAATTGTGTAATGTTAATAAATAGTAAAAGAAAAAAACTACAGAAAAAAAATGAGAAGAAAAAAAAAGTTAAAGGAAGAAAAAAGAAAGAAAAAAGAAAGAAAGAGAGAGAGAGAAAGGGGGAGGCTCAAACGAATGGAAAGAAAGAGAGGATGAAAAAGAAAGAGAAGATAAAAGAGATCATCCCAGAAAAGAAAGAGAAGAAAGAGAGAGGGCGGAGAAAAGAAGGTAAAGAAAGAGAAAAAACAACTTTTTCTCTCTCTCTCTCTCTTACCTGTTACCTTCTCTTTCCAAATTCAACAAAAGGAAAAGAAAGAAACAAAGAGAGAGAGAGAGATGATGATGATGATGATGAAAAAGAAAGAGAATGAGAGAGAAAAGAGAGAGAGCAGAATTGGAACCAGGTAGATTGGATCATAATTCAATTGTTCACCGGCCTAAGCACGTTAACAATAGTAAAGTTTGATAACAACAATATAAACAACGTTGTTTATTTAATTGTAATGATTATCTCGTTAATTGTGTGACCTTTACATAGATTAACGATAATCTGTTGTCCATCTTTAATTGTTTGTTTTCATCTTATTAATTAGTTATAATTGGTGATCATCGCAGTCACTTTTTCATTGATATTATTTTTTGTTTATGTTTTCAAAATTTTCACAATTCTAAATAATATTGAATAATAATAACATCGTTAATTTTAATTCTGGCCTACTAATAATGATTTCATCTAAAACCATCAACTTTTAATTGTGTGAGTTAATTTTTCAGGATTATAAGAATTTGGTTAATTGTTGATTAGCTAATAAACAAATTAACTCTGAAAGATTGTCAAATTATTGACAATTTAAAGTGATTCTCAAAGATGATGATTAACTTTCCGTTGTTGTTGTTGTTGTTGTTTAGTACTTGTTTTAATTGTTTCACTGTTAATTGTTACATCAAATTGAGAAAAGGTTTAATTGTGATATGTCAATGTTATTAATTGGATTAATTTTACAATTAAATCTATAAATTGTTAAAGTGAATGATGAAATAATAACAAAAACTTTTTTTTCTGTTTACTTTTTTTTTCCTCATAACTTTTTTTTTCGTGTGTCCATCATTGGGATAACTCTTGACCGTTACATTCACGTTGACATATATAAAGATTTAAGGAAATTAGGAAAAGGATTAAAATGGAATCAACTAATTATCATTCATCATCAATTGATTCAAATCAAAGTGACCCTCGGAACAGTTTGACCATGGGTGAGGTTGTGGTCTATCAAACAAGTGTACCTTGTGAAACTAGTGTAATAATTGATCAACAATCAAATCAACAACAATCAACTGACCATCGACACGGAAGTGACTCTGGATCAGAAAATAATAATTCATATTTAACCTACACAGGAGAGATTAGTGAATCAAGTCCAGTCAATCAGATGATTGACCATTGGCCTTATAATGGGGGCAGTGGTGGTGGTGGACAATCAGGTGATTCAGATGAACCATTGGCTTATCATCATCATGTTGTATCAACTCTTTATGGGTCATCACCTTCAATCCAAGGGTCAACCAGTCCAACACCTCCGACCATCATTCCAACCTCAGCCTCATCATCATCTAACGGTTCAAACACATCAAATGGTAACAATAATAATCTAACGGATAGTGAACAGCATCTTCAACATCAACAACATCTTCACCATCAGCACCATCAACATCATCATCTGATGAAGATGACCAGTGAAATTGGAAGCGGTGTAATCCACTCATCACCATCTCCAACCACCACACCAACAACAACTTCCAGCCGATTATCCAATCGGACATCAACCACCTCACCAAGCATTTCTGGTAACCTATTGGGAGGCGGCGGTGGACTTGGACCTGGAAGTAGGTCCATTGAGCAAAGGATAAGACGTCCAATGAACGCATTCATGGTTTGGGCTAAAGCGGAGCGGAAACGATTGGCCGATGAGAATCCTGACCTTCACAACGCTGATCTAAGTAAAATGCTCGGTAAGTGATCAATTGATCAACCAAATCTATTACTAAACTAGTCTCAACAATTTAAAGTCTACCGTTGAAATGACGACACAATGATAATATACAAAATGATGAAAATACCAAACTCATCATCTCTCACACTCTTATATCTAAACAATTAACTAACCATTACAATGAGAAATCATTTCTCTCTCTCTCTTTATTGGAATTGATTTAATATGATCAGAAAAAAAAGTTTATCAGTAATGAAAGCAGAGAAAAAGTAAAACAAGATAATGAAACTACACAATTAGGTAACAATTAACTCTGAATTTATCACGAAAACAACAGAGCAAATCTCACTAATCAAGATAAATGGAAATTGTTATAAGTTGTTAATCTTGTTGTTGTTGTCTTGTTGGTGAATAAAAGTAATCTAATAATATAAGAGAAGAAAATTAAAAAGGTTCATCATTCAGAGCTATTAACTACTGTAAGAATTAAATCACATGATTATCTCTCTTTTCTCTCTCTCTCCCTGAATATCCACTTGAAATGGAATATGAAGAGAGAGAGAGAGAAAAGACGAAGGAGAGAGAAAGAGGAAGATAGAAGCGGATCGAAGGGAAATTCCCGTTAACGTTAGAGCTTTTTTTCCAAAACTCCCCTGAAAGAAACTTCTCAGAACTTCGTAGTCAACAGAACCTGGAACATGATGATTATCATGGAAGAAGAAAAGAAAGAGAAGAAAGAGAACAGGTGAATTTCAGAATTATCATGTTTCGTTATTTTCTCTTTTCTTCTGAAAGACAAGAAGAGTGAGAGAGAGAAAAAAACCTGACATCGACAGAGTTTCGTTCTAACGATGTTTATCTTTTAGGTAAACTTTTCATTCTCAGATAAAATTATCTTCTTCATCTTCTTTTATCATCATAATTAACTTTGTTATCTTGTTATTTCGTTGCGTGAATTTTGATCAAAACCGTGATCGTAATTTTTGCTTTTCGGACGAAAAAGTTTACGAAACGTTTATCACCTCGAATTTATTTTCTTCCACTTTTCGTTTCAACTTTTTTCTCCAATTTCTTAATTTTTCTGCTTAATCATTGATCGTTAATTGTAAATTTCCAACAAATAACTATGTAAATAGTGGTGGTGAAAGTTAATTAATGTTTAATTGTGGTTCTTTTTTTAGGTCCACCAACACTAACAATCAATTTCGGGGTAGACATGTTAACATAAAAGTAAACAACTTAACAAGTTTAATTTATTATTGATTATCAAGTAGTTATCAAGATGATTAACAATAGAAAACATTGTTAATAGTGATTAGAAATTGTAATCAATGTAATACAATATTTTCTCATTCCTCTTATTGATTTAACTCTCAAATACAATTAATTAATTTCTAATTCCAATTGTGATCATTCTGATGGTCAATTCTTAGCATATAAATTGTTCAGGCTTGGAAATAAATACATTCGTTGGAAGAGTAAATTTTTTATAAAAATTATTCTTTTTTTTTCTCTCTCTCTCTCTCTTCGAGATTGAACATTTTAATAGCTTCGACTATTATTTTTATCGTTACTTAAAGTTAATTTTCACTTTCACCTTGTACAATCAAACGAAATCAATTAATATTTATCACTAACGATTTACCCGGAACGTTAATAGTAAATATCGTTACAACGATGATCATCATTTGATTTAGATGAAAAAATCCCTTTTTCTACCTGAATCAAGTTAATTGTGTTTCATTTAATTTACTTTATTATCATTCGATTAAAATCACAATTGTGTAAATTGTTAAGGAATCATAATAAGATCGTAATGAATTAACTTTAATTGTGACTCTTTAAATTAATAGTCTCTAACGTTTCTCTAATTGTTGCGACCTTAATATGTCAAATTGAAGGTTAACAATTGGGAATCGAAATGATTATCAGTAAATTGTTACGGTTAATTTTAATTATTTGTCTGTTTTTTTTTGTTATCAATTAAAATTAGGCAAAGAATTGATTTTGATATCGATCCTATGGTTTAAAGGTCAATGTTAATTGTTAACCTTATTGTGAATAATAATCTTGTAAGAAAAAAAAAGTTCATTCAACTTAGATGGATGGTGATGATAATGATAAAGATGATGAGGATGATGATAAGGAAAGGTAATGATGATGGCGATGATGATAAACTAAGGATATCATTTAGTTTGTTAATCTTATTTTTTTCTCATCGCAAAACTTTTTTTTTTGCAAAAACTTTTCTTACCTTCGTTATGACGTTACGATGAAATTGGTATCATTTAGGCCCCCAACTCCTTCTCATTATCATCATACCTCCACATCCCTTATCCTTTTATCATCATCTTCATCTTCATCATCATCCTGACCGGAATATCCTGCCGATTCTGACCGGAAATTCATGGTGAGAGTTGAATTGAAAAAAGAAACCGCAATAGTATTTACATCAATTTCAATTGGACATTGAATATATTACATTGATTAATTGTTGATGACAGATGATGAGGAAGATGTAAATCAGAAGCTGATGATGATGAAGATGATGAAGATGTGCCAAAAAGTGTTCAAGGGAAAGTTAATCAACTAATCAAATGAAACAATTACTATTATGATGTTTTACCTTATCAAGACCACACTGAAAATCCAATGAAACTAAATCAATCTCTTTAAGTATAAAAAAAGATTCTCATTATCAAGAAGCTGAAATCAATTGATTCATTTATACCCTGAGGGTAAATACATGTACTTATATCATAATATCAAGTGTTATCATCCCAACATCATCATTATCATCATCATCATTTCCATATATATTTTTTTCTTCTAACAATATTAATGTTGTTACCTTGTTAGAAAAATTTTTCTATCCAAAAATTATTATTCTTTTTATTATTTTTTTTCTTTTTATCGTGTTTGTTGATTTTCACCTGATTTCTGATCTTCTCTTGAAATTTGAGAAGCCATTACAAGAGTAAATATTATCATTCATATATATTTTTGACCAGGTAATCGTTTTAATGATCTTAAGTCATTTTCATGTGAGTGTGTGTGTGGACTGGCTAATGGTCAGTCTACACACTAAATGACCATTTGATGATGGTTTTTTTTGCACAAGAAAAGACCAGGTAGAGAGAGAGAGAGAGAGAGAGAGAGAGAGAGAGAGAGACTTGAAAACTCTGATGATGATGATAAACAAAATGTAAAATTGAAGATGAAGAAAACAACTTGACCTCTATTAATTTAAATACTTCATCATTATTATCATCATCATTTACTTTCTCCACTGTAACTTGAAGCCAACGACGAAGTTACAATTTAAGTTTACAATTAACTTTTCTCTCCTTTTTTCCCTGTTGATTTGATTTCGTTGTAACCAAAACAATTAAGTGATTCATTTAATTTGAACGTTTTTTCTCTCTCTCTCCCTTTGAACTGAATTTCTTACCTTGATTCAATTATAATCATCCGTTTACTTTGATCATCATCCTTAATCAGTGATGGTAATAAATGTTAATTGTTGTCATTTTATTCCCAATCAATCAGTTGATTTGATTTTATCATCATTGGAAATGAAATCTCTTTTATCCTTGATTCTGATTCTATGCCAATGATAAGAAACAATTAAACACGTTGGTTAAAGTTGATTGTTTAACCTTTTAGTTTGTTGTTTTTGCTGCTTATGTTTAATCAACTAATTAAAAGGCAACGGTTACAATTTGATTGTCGTCGTTGATTAACTTTTTGCAGGTTAGGTCAAAACAATTTGGCCTCACTTCAATTAAGCTTCTTGGCTTATTCAAAGTTAATTGTGAGTCTTGACTTTTTTTTCTGCTTCTTCGTCTCTTCATCATGATTCAGTTTCCACGGCGGAAATGACATTTCCACCTTGATCCTCGTCTTCGTCCTCCTCCACCTCATCAACTTTACCTCTTAACGTGACTACTATCCTTAATTGTCAACAGTTAATCATGTTTCTTGTGGTTTAATCAACAACAATTTCCCTTTGACTTTGATTAACTTACAATTACAACGTTGACGTTTAGCATATATTAGCTTTGAGATAATTAGTTTCAAACCTTTTTCAGCACGTTAACGTGTTGCTTAATTGTTGAACTTGATTAGACTTTGATTAATATTAAACTTTTTCCTCTGAATCAATTGTAATTGTTTTAATAATAAATTCAAACGAATTGTATAATGATGAAAACTTTTTTCTTTCGAATTTGATTTTTCTTAGAACTTTTAGTTTTTCATTTCATTCTAATTTGTAGGCTAATCAAATGATCCGCTAAGTTAAATTGTTTATATCCAACGATGAACTAATTATCGTTAATTAGTGATTTTGATATTAAACACAAGAAACAAAATTAATTGAATTTGACTTTTCAGCACCAAAGGTCAATCAAATCGCTTTGAGGATCAAATGATTAATCACTAATTGTTACCGGAACTTGAAGGATAAGCAGATGATGAGAGAGTTACAAGGATACAGAATTGATGATGATAAAGATGAAGATGATAAATAAAATGAGGGAGAGATCGTGATGTTTAACTTGGAGAGAGATGAGAAGCACGAGAAGGTTTGAATTTCCGTCTATGAAGAAAAAAAGAAGAGAGAAAACAAATGATTAGAACTAAATTGCAATCAACTGTTAACCTTGATTTAAGAAAATTTAACTAATTGTTATCAAGAACGAAAAAAAAATGAACAAATCGCAATCAACCAACACAACGATTGCCAAAAGACAATTAGAATCAACAATCAACCAACAATGTTTACCAAATGATAATCAAGCTCAATCAAGTTTCTCATGTAAACATCAACATCCAAAGTGATTTAATAACTGTAACTAAATTAATTGTAATAATGATCAACGTTCGTTGGGTAATTAACTTTGCTTGCGATTTTTGTTTGACTTTTTTTAAAGGGAAAAGTTTATGACGCGTGTGTCCAGAAGGAAAATGACCTGAGGCTAAATGTTTGCGGTTTTCTATTGCCGAACCAAATCAAGA